TGGAAATTTGATCTTTACTAAATATAGCGTTTAGACAAACCGCAATGATAGTTACATTTGTCGCAAAATTGTGATTTCAGTCTAATTTAGGTGATGGGTAAGTAGCCAGTATCAATATGCTGTGTCAATAGTGTGTGTGTATTTGATGATCAAAAACATGTTTCATATATTGCTTAATCTTTCCAATCCCATACAATCGAGAATAAACATGACAACAAGTTTTTTTTAAAATTGAATTTGAGTAGCCTTTGTCCGATAAGCTACAAATGAGCTCAGTTTATAACGTAATCCAATATAGTACGAGAATTATGCTCAGAGGACAAGATGGAAGAGGAATTAAATGTTATTGATAGTTGTTTGATGAATAAACGTTATCCACGAAAGTTTATCAGCAAGTGTGAGAAGACAAGAACGAAGCTAGTGGAGTGTACTACGACGGGAAAAAAGTATTTCTTTCAAACTACTCAGATTCAAAAGCGACAAAATATCTTGTTAGACTGATTCTAAACTAATAAATCTATTAAAAAGGACTTATCCAGCTGTAGAACTCATCTCGATATACAAAAAGGTTGTTCGTTACGACATTCAACAGTAAACAAATACTAGTCATACGTTATCTTTAATCATGTAAATCGATTTGTATGCACGTGTCGAAGTGCTTGCTTTGGAGGAGAAAAACACAGATTTAGCGTTCCAATATTCAAGGACTTTCCTTGGATGAGATTAAGTGATCGACACTCCTTTAGTAGTCTGAACGCCCGTCATTTACTTGATAGTGGACATAACGTTGTGATTTCATGACTATTTAAAACAGGTAACCTCTAACTTGATATGTTTTACCGTAGAAATTACTCTTTAAAAACATAAATCGTATTTACGCGTTCTAAAAGATACTGTTTTAACTATTATACTGCCCTAGTTTCCTTGGTTTTCAACGTTTGGTTGTCTACCAATTCATGTTTGTCATCAAAACTTCACTTTCTTTCTAATTCGAGTTTTATTCAAGCTTCATATATTTTAATCCTATAGCCAGTCCTATTTTTAGTTGTTCTTAAGTAATTTATAGTCTGAATTTTTTTTATTAATCTGTCTCCATGTCCTTTTTAAAATTTTCCTTTAGAATCTACTTATTGCTTAATGTATAAATAAACACTCATTTATGCGATTTATACTGTTATGTTTAGGTTGTAAAAAAATGAAGAGAAAACAAGAAATAAGAATAATCCATGTTATTTTACTACGTTTATTCTCCTTGGTCTCTTGTAATTCTAAGAGGTCATCAAAGAGGATCAGTCGACTGCTTAATGTTTCCTGGCCTTTGGTAGCTCTTTTATTTATACCAGTCTCCCACAAAATGTTTTCTTTTGGAAGTAAACGGAAATTTCAAAGTTTAAACCTGAAAATATTTCTTCATCTGATATCTCAAGAGACCTTCTGAAATCAAAATATTACTTTTCATCACGTACTTACCTCAATGGAAAAAACTAAAGAAAACCAAGAAACATTTTATAGATTATTTTAGTCTAAGTATTTCATACTTTTCTTAGCCTAAATGTACATCATTTCTTAGATTCTTTTTTTATACAGAGGTGAAAATCAGGGATAGGGAAGAGAAAAATCGAATTATCAAGGGTAAACAAACAAGGATATCATTTGAAAATTTATCGTTTTTTTCTTCATTGCATACAAATTACCTATGACATTAATTTATTCTCAGTATAGTCTGAACTAATAAATCATGATTACAATGATATTCATAACTGTACATTAATTTCTGTTAACAGTAAAACATATATATTGTATGAATATTTATCTAAAGGTTCTATATAAAACCATGAAATTACCTAGTGACTATCAGAAAATGTGTTTTTGTGACTGTATTTAGTTCATTTTATTTACTGGATTTATATACATTATCATCATCATCATGTAAAACTTCTAATAAAATTGTAATAATGATCCAGAGATAATATTTTGTTATTCTTAAATAAAACTTTTAAAATGTCTGTCTTAATTCCAACTAACATGAAAATGTAAGTTTGTTAGGGACATTTAGATTTATTTGTTGTCAGCTGATTTATCTTCCTTCTTTTTCTGCTTCTTAACATGAATTGAATTCTATCAATCAAAATGGCACAGTATGATCATTAAATTGAATGATTTGACAGTGTATTACATTTCGTTTTAGTGTTGAGTATTTTTTTAAGAAAAAAAAACAAGTTTGTTACCTTTTAGTATGTTTCAGTTTGTTTTGAAAACTACACTATCTAATAACGAACTAATGGCAATAATAGTAGCTTTATTCAATACTGTAAATTTTTGTTACAGTACAGGATTTTCAGAGATATTTTATAAATATTTTTAGTAACCAATATATCTGAAAACCGTTATTAATCAAGAAAATTTTCAACTTGTTCATCTGCTACAACTACTTTCCCTGTTAAGCATATACAAAATACATAGATACCGATATATCTGATTCTTGATTTTTGCTGTTTACATGGGAAATATGTCAACAACTGTAATGTTTCTGTTAAGGTTTTCCAGTAATTACCATAGTATTAACTTGTAAAGCATATATGAATCAAATTAAATATTTCTAATTGATTCTAATCAAACAGTACAAGCAAATCTAAAACAGGATGGTTAATTTTAATGCCTACACAAGTGGCACAAACGTTCAAGCACGCCACCTTGTGATTGGTGACCTACTAGTGCATTTAATTCTTTGGTAAGGTTTTGAATAGACTGATTTTTATGGATGAATCTTGCGAAGGTAACATAAACATCTCGCTGAAAAATAAAAACCAATAAGAATTCCAAAATAAAAACTTTAAACTGATTTACACCAAACATTCAGTAAAATGATATGATAGACGAACGCACATGGTTACTGATAGGCTTACTATATTGTATTCAACCTTTATTTCATCAACGATCTAACAAACCATGTAATATTTATTACTTATTTTGTATACAAATGAACACTTTAACTCCCTAATTTAATCGGCCAGTAAATGATTTCTTTTCATTGAAAGTGTATCTCGTTGAAACTTGTCAATCAATCGTTTTAGGAAGCTAATGGATTAAATCACTTCAATAATTTTAGTATTTTATCAAAACAAATTGTGATAAAATATAAATATAAGACCAATTATCAGAAGAAACAGTATTTTTTACCTCCACATTTGTTTTGGTTTTAGCTTTTACTTTTAAATGTTCATCAGTAGATGATAGATCCTATATTTAGTTATGTATATAGATGCCAATATGTACTTATAAACTGACTCAAATTAGTGTAGAGCAACTATTCAGTTATTCTCACATTTTAATGGTGTTACTAAGTGATAATAATTCTCTTTTTTTCTCATTATGTTAGTTAAATAATCAAAATAGTCTGAAACAGCTTAGGTTACAGTTCATCGGTTTCATAGTAGATAAATGTTGTTATTCAGTCTGTCAAACCATGCAATTTACTACTTAGTTCTAGGTTGGATTTCAATAAAATAATATTTAAACGTTATGTAGAGTTTGTATTTGTGTTGTATAAAGCTAATTTTACCAGTTAATATTTTATTTTGAAAATATCGGATATCTAAACAGGAAATCAATAGAGATAACAACCGGTCATTATATTTGGAAGATTACACGACCTAAATTTTCCTTAGTATTTTTTATTTACCAACAATCAAGTTCATAAATTCCAGATCTAATTAGTTGTACATCAGAAGTAATAAACTAAATGAAGAAGTTACATCTAAGCCAGTCAGTGGTTTTCACAATATCACAAATGAATCAGTATTATTTTCCAGATGTAGATCAACATTCAATCTATGATTCCCTTAGCGATTGTATTATTACATTATCAATGTCGAGATGATAATTGAAATCTGTTGATATGTAAAATGTTAGGAATGAAAAATCTGCTTAGTTGGTCTGTATTGTTTCCATTTCGATTATCTGTGTGATATTCATACGTACGCAACATCGTACAAAGTGGTCATTACAACACAACAACTGATATGCAAAACGGATCTTTCCTATATTATAAAACATCGGTAAACAATAATCTAATTTTTCAAAGTAATTTTGCCCTGCATTTTTTAATTATTTACTCATTTCAAAATTCAATCATTCAACGTCACTGTTGAGTTAATTTTTTGGTGCTACCTAATGCCAGTCGTTTTGTCTATTCGGATGCTTGACCAAGTTATAGGTGACCAAAATTAGAAATATATAGGGAAGTAACCTTAAAGTGAAATGAAGGTTCAAGATCCAGCTGTTACGATTCTATACTACTAAAATAGTATCACTTTACTTGGTATGCATATTGAACTGAAAACATTGTTATCTTGTTATGTACTCAGCCTTCGTCAAACGTATTTTTAATTTATGTATGCCAAAATTATCCTTTCATTCATGGGTGTTTTTTCATCGGCTTGATCTTCAAAACTTCGAAAAACTCATCAAGTTAGACCACTACTGAAAACCGGAAAGCACTAGATGGTCGTTTTGTCCTTGTATAGATCTCCTCATGAGTGCGCATCCACGACTCCCAAGGTAGAAATCGAACCCCGGACCTTAGTTCTTGCGCGCGAACGCTAAACCTATGAAACTCGAATCTTTACAACTGTAATTATTATACGATCCATCCTATTCTGCCTCCGGACTACATTTAATTATGTAATATATATATATATATATATATATATATATATATATTATTGATAATCTTTGTTACTCTAACTTCTCATGTGATCAATATCGATTGCTACATATTATATCACACCTTAATGTTACCCTTTAATACACATCAACAGTTATAAGCGGCTAATGAGAAACCACGAAGTATAATGAATTCATAGTATTCTGAGTCTAATGTTACTCTGGCTCTACCCAAATCCGTAAAGAAAACTAATTACACAAAAGTAGAATGATGGAAACAGCATTTTTTTAAAAGTCTGTTTGCTTTTAAAAATAGATGACAACTTAATGCTGCTTTATTTCTGTGGTGATAAACTTTTCAGTTGTGACAAGCCTTCGCAACGTTTATATTCAACATACTCCAAGTCCTAAAAGTAAAGTAAAATGAGAGATTATGAACAATCTAAGTCAAAATCCTTGACAAGTTATACAGAGAGCTGCATTTTCTATTGTATCACGTCACCACAAATGATTTGATTCACAGAAAAATAGTGTGAAATGTTTAAACAGTCTATTTTTTCGGTCCTTCAGGAAGAATGTAAAAGTAGATATTCAGGTAACTAAGTTCGATCAAGTGACAAACTATCTAGACTACCTATCAGCCCAAATGAAAAAAGGTTTGCAAAAATTACTAGTCTCGGTAGATGAATGTATTCATGAAGTTTATTAGTATACTGATATTCAGCCTTACGTATGGAACCAATGATAGTCTAGCTAGGTTAGTAAATGCTGATCCATGGGAACTCGACAAAAACACATAAGAAAGATCTCTATGACCTAAATCTATCTAGTCATTGTCATCTTTCACTAAAACCTGCGAACCCTCAATTTTCTACTGTATATAACTACATTCCCTTTCTGCTGATCTTCAATACCCCTAGTTTCGTTGAATTTGTACGGTAGTCAAAATGCTGAAAAGACATGTCAAACTGTTATGGGTTCTTAGTCAGATCAGTTCATCCTCACAAGAGATTTTGCACTACGTTTCTTATTAAATAGTAGTTGTGTAAAATATACCTAAAACATAACCTCACCTTGGAAAACACCTGATTATGTCTGACCTCTTCATTTTGTTTCTCCAAGTTCGATTTTTCTGCTTCCATAGCTTTTATTAATTCTGATTTATTTAGGATATCCTTATACAATTCCTCATTTTCTTTACATATCTTATTAACATGTTCAACGATCAGTTTGTTTGAAACCTGTTGTAATAAAAAGAGATCAAACAGGATAAATAGAAAGCAATTCAATTGGAAAAACTTAACTGAATTCCAGATCCAATAATAATTCATCATCCATGAGCAAATTGCTTTAGAATCCTCCAACATAAGTGAGAACATGAAACCATAATCAGTAGGATCAATATAGTGGAAATCCAAATGTGATGTCCTTTGATAACGATAGATATTGATCAGTGGTTACGTCTATTACTATCATATCTTTCCGGTGCTTAACTGACCCATCGAGGTTTCCCTGGTCGAAGTCGTATCCCATACTCGTCGCCACTGTCATCTCTGACACTTCTGTGTTAGCGGACATGATTAAATGGGTTATGCCTTATACTGAGACCCCAAATCCAACAATGCATGATGAAAACTGCAGAATGGTGATGAAGATTTATTTGACTTCCAAAATAAATCAAAATGAAATGTGCATACAATACACTTCATATGCCGTTGTAGAGTCAGGTTACCAACCAGAGTTTTATACTTTGAATGAGTAATATTTAGCATCAATCAATAGTCTACTAAGTGGACACACTTAAAATATCATGCCGATCGATTTCTACGTTGACTTAATGAAGCTCTTTTGATCTTGTCATATTAATCAATCTGTATTGAGGTGGCATAACAGTAGGTTCACTGAAAGATTCATGAATTTTATAATTATTTTTATTCGGTTGAATGTGGATGGTTAAGGACTTACAACCAAAAAAAATAACCAGGAATACAGTAATGAGTTTATTTAATGCCTTGTGAAGAGAAATGGAGAACTCCGAAAGACATGATCGACATTCGCTGGGCAAACAGTATATGATGATTAAACCTGTAGTATATAATTTCAGAATGTACTTTTAAGTGAAGAGAGAAGTATCTGACAAATAAGTGTACGGCATAATCACACTTAAACAATCTGCAATATCTGTCATGCTTCCGTAACATTTGGGGAAATATTTTTGATAAAAGGCGTTTACAATAGCTTATGTCTGTGGTAGATTCTGCAACTACTCCTTTGTTGATAAGTCTAAAAAACAAATTGGATGTTTCAACAGGTATTCTCTTATGATAAAACATATAGCTAAATCCCAACTAAATATTATTTGAGACAGAACCACTGGTCAAATACAGAAATATATATCAAAGAAATTAAAGTCTTTATTTTCCTACAACGCATTCAACCAAGTTAGTAAGGCTTATCAAAGTACAAATGCTTAACTAACAATGATAACGAAAAAGGTGTCGTAAACAATGATTTTTCACTCCTACTAGCTTATACTATTAATCGCTTCTCTCGTTGTTGAAATGGTGTAACAACTTCGGCTGAAATGTGCTTCACATATGTGAGTGATATCCGTTGTCATAACAGGAGGCAACTGCTCAAAAATTGAAGACACGGCAGTTGATATTATTCAAAGTAGAAAGAAGTGGAAACAAATTTTAAAGAGGACACCAGGGGTAGTTTGACTGGGAAAAAACTCGTAATATTATTCAAGATAATATACAGACGTTTCGATTTTCCTAGAAATTACGTTACACTGAAGTTAAATTCTTTGTAAATACTACTTTGTTTTAAAAAATATGACATATTAGCTTATTAAATGATGAAATTACGGGTTTTGGAAACTTTAAAATCCTGCATACCACCTACTTCCCCATATTTTTACCGTCCATTCTTTTCCGAACTCTGAAGAAAACATTGTCCCATTTTCTTTAGAAAATGAAGGTTATTAGTAAAGTCTGTGGGGAACCTATAGATTCACTTGTAAACGTGGGTGTGAATAGATACCTGAAATGTTGCCAGTTTTATTAAAATTAGCAAAAATCATCCATTTTAGTTAAAAATTCACCATGTTTTTCTGCTTGGGTAATGATGACCAAGTATATCAGAAACCATAGATGTAAAACAGAATATAATTGCTACACAATGCCTTATCTAACACATGTTGCGCAACAAAAACTTCTAGAGATGGGAACTAATCAAAAACCTTAACAACTGGAGGGAGACTGACACTAATAACCGTTACAAAGACCGATTAAACTATAAACATGTTTTGTAATGCGAACAAAAATGTAGGTATCCTAAAATTATCTTATATTCGAAGCGTTATCAGTAAGCGTAACTGGTCATTCAAGAAGGGATGAACAGATGCGATCTCACTCTGCACACTATAACTTGGAACTCTTTAAAATACTTGTTATATTTAGCGATAAGATCGCTAAATGTTCCAGTCATCCTAATGACTGAGAATAAGCTCAACTACTCGCCATCAAAATAAATCAACCTTTATATACTTCTCGAAAACATCAGAAATATTGCGACCAAGTGACTAGAATGGCTCCAATAAAGGCTACCAGATCTAGAAATGTTCTCTAAAATTAAGAAAAGGCAGCAAATACATCGACTAGTTTATGTCAGTCCATCAAAAAGTTATTGGAAGATGAATAGCAGGTAGACATATACCTTTTTACTTTTTTCAGTCACGTTATCCAAGATAATCTTAGCTTCTTTTTCCAACTCCAAATGTTTTTGTTCAGATATCTCTTTAAACTGTTGAAGTTTTTCTGATTGGTAATTGCGGGTAGCTCTTATTTCTTTTTCTAAGCGTTCAATTTCTGCTTCTTGTTTTTTACGAATTAACTAATCAGAAACAAAATTAAACTAAACTTGAACAAAACGTCTTTATGAACTATTTCTCTAAATAAGTTATATTCACATTAATAAACACCTATGAAAACCAGAATGCACGTTTTATAAATTTTGAGACCCAGTTGGATGTGTATGTATCTTATTGATCTTACGTAATCTGTGCTTATAAGAACATAGTTTTGAAAACGGATAAAACATATTGGACTTTATACCGGGATGCTAAGGATAATTAAGAGTAACTAGATTAACTAAATATGAACAGATATCAATGCCTAGTTATCAGGCCGCAATTCATAAAGTTTGAAACTTTCTTAAAGTTAGCAGAATCAAACAAAATTAGAGATCCGTGACTGTGGTAAAACGAAGTTTTATTTAGAACGATTAAGAACAAATCTAGAATTTATTTCACTTCCAGGTGTCTTATCCGACATGTAAGTTGGCTTCCAATATATTTAAATCTCCAGTTTTCCTGTATCGGTCCTGGTGATTAATACATCCAAGAATGATAATTTATTGTTTGACGCCTGTTCTAACGTGAACCTTATGTCATCGAAAATGCTGTTGATCAGATTAAAAGTGCTTTCCAGCTCGTCCTTCTTGATGGTGGCCAATGTGCCGTCCACATAATGAATCCATATTTTTGGCTTGATCACTGGTAAGACCGAGGCTTCCAGTCTTTGCATCACTGCTTATTCAATAAGTCCTAATATTATTGATCCTATTGGTGCTTCTTTCGTTTGTTTGTAGATTTTTTCGTCGAATTGAAAGTGTGTTGTTGAACATAAATCAATGACTTCTAGTAAACTTTGACATTGAAGCCCCGTGTACTTTGGGAGATTTGTGTCGTTGTTGAAGAGCAGGGATAAAGTTTCCTTCGCTGAGATCGGTTCAATTGATGTGAACAAGACCGTTGAATCAAAGAATATCATCAGCTCGTCGTTGCTGATTTGAATGTTCTTAATCCTGTTCAGGAATTGTATAGGAGATTTAATAGAGTTATTGAATCAATCCGCTAGATGTTTCCATATTCGTGAAATTTCTCTCGACAAATTGTTTGTTGGGGCTCCTTGGAGTGCTACATTCGGACGAAGTTGGATGTCTGGTTTGTGTATTTTCGGCCTACTGTAGAATCTAGGGCGTACTGGTCCACCGGATTTCATTCTCCATTTATCTTGAAATTGATCTTTCCTACTGTGACAAGATTGTTTAAAGTCCTTGAGATTTGGTCATCTCACCTTTTGATTGGATTGATGTTCAATGATTCATATACCCTTTTATATTCAATTAGTCCCTCAGCTTACCTAATAATTCCTATAGAACATCATTTGTCCGGTAGAACTATGACAGTAGGAATAAGCATAGCACATAAACCAACAAAACCATTTTAATCAATCCTATGCAAAGCAAAGGACGATGTGAAAGATAAGAAAAACCGAACGTCATCTACAAAACAAACTGTTACAATTCCGTACAACACCACATCAAACCACAAGAACGCCGCCTTCATCTTCGCCCGCACGAACGTCAATTGGCAGTCAAATGTCATGACGTACCCATGTTTATATCAATGCATTGTGACAACTGTGGAGACACGTTCAACTGCAAAAATGCTAGGATATTGGATAGAAGGGCCCCCAAATGCCCTTGTATGGCCCGCCCTCTCTCTCGAAATACTCTCACACGGCCACGCGTATACAGCCTCTGCCAGGGAAGTCCTACTCACTGCCTTCACGTGGCCGGGGTGTTGTTTACAAAAATGAGAGGACGAAAAGGGAATGTCCGGCGCCTTAACCGGATCCCAAACCAATGGTGTATATGGGCTCCAGCATCCTGCGGGAACAAATGGCGTATGAACCAATCGTTGGTCACCGGCTACCATGGGACTGCATCTCCTTACGATGCTCCACTACTTTGTGGGTTAGACCTTCAGGTCAAAGACTCGGGGTGTGGCCCCCTAAGAAAACCACCTGCTTTGGTCTGGGCACCCGAGTAGTATCACAGCCCACACACGCACGCACAAATATGGTGTGGCGCATATATATTTGGTGCCCTCTTGTACCAATATTTATGTGTTGAAATAATAATAATAATAATAATAATAATAATAATAATAATAATTGGATAGAAGGAATTCTAAAAACACTATGAGATTATTAGAAGCTTGGTACTCAGGTCAATCACCTCGAAATTGATCCAATCTATCAACCAATAACAAAAATCATGGACAAATATAGGACGAAGAATCAAGTCAAAGGGAGGTACAGTCAATATAATGAGGTAGACAATGATAGGTTAGAGGTCAACAATAGCTGATCAAGATCGGGGTCGACAGAACAAGCTATGAATCATATATGGAGGAATTCGAACATATCGCTTCAACCTGACGTTTATGCTAATGATGTTGTTCAAAAGAACAATGAAAGCTCCACAACAAAACCATCCGGCTCAGAGAATACAACTCCACTAGAACTGTCCGGAATAAGACGTCTGCAGACCCAATACACCGCATCAGCCAATAAACTTCCTGAATGTCGATCAAAGTCAGGTCTGTAGGTGGACACACAATGATGAAATTACTTAGTTGTAACCCATAAATGGCGCTGTTAAAACTAAACGTAACGATAAAATAGATCCAGTATTGTCTTGAACTTCAACATCATTCATTACCTAACCTTAATCGTCCAAAATCAACCTCATGTATAACTGGATATTTTCTATGGATGAAGTTCATATTACTACAAACGTTTTGATTCTCATCCAACTAATTCCGTCTTTTTTGAGTTAGTGTAATTTGTCATAAATATAGCTAACCTATATACGTGCAACGTTTTGTGTTGTCAATAATTATAGCTATATTTCAGCTATTATGAATCTACAAATTATTTGATAAGCATACAAAACCATTGGTACCAACGGTAAGATCTGAAAGCTTACTTGAATATCTGCTGTTGATACTAATTCTTCTTTGACATGTTTCAGGAGTTTTTTTTCCTGTAGTAAAACATCCTGCAATTCTACGGTACAGTATAACGAAAGCATCAGACGCACCAGACTTTTTTTTAGCATACATAGTCAACATTTCATCTCTGTCTCTCTCTAATTCATTCACAGTAAACAAATAATAATCTTCTAACGTTATTGTATTTTTCAAACGTTTCGACTGCTTCTTCTCCAAATAGGAGTTATATTCATTCTATTTTTGATAAAAGTATAATAAAAATTTCTGAAATAAACACTACATTCTTAACTTCTTGTTCTTGGATAGAATGCTCAGTAAGTATTAATTCACTTTGTCTAACAGCCAAAAATTTTCTAAACGCCCGAACTTACATGTCTAATATTTCTTCGGAAATTGCTTCAATCTCATTGCTTAGGTTAGCGTATCTAGATTTACAGCATTAGAGTGAGTAAAGCATTACTCTTCTCGCAAGAGTTCTCCTTTATCTACGAAAATGTTATCTTCGGGTGAAGACGTTGAATCATCTGTCATTGTGAGCAGACAAAAAGAAACGTAGTATTATCCCTTTCTTTTTCATGTCAACTAACTTGACACACGTGGAATTGAGGACATTTTCAAGAACTTCGAGAAAAATTCTGAAACGAAAAGCAATTTGAAGACATAAACAAGATACCTATAAAGTGTTCAAGTATTTACGGGGTTTATGGGTTATAATCAATAAACATAACCTATGTTACATATGTATACAAACTATATATTCAGTTATAACTGAAAATATAGTTTGTAGTTATAGCTAGAAAATGAATTACTAAGTCAAAAACGATTTCATAAGGCGCCAACAGAAAATATAAAAAACTAATAATTTATTCGAAGCTTACAAAGTGTCTTTCAAGAACGGTTTTTATTACAACAAATAACATTTTGTGCTGTCTAGTATCCCCCTATGTAAGGAAAACTTTAGAAACTCTCAGATAAATTTTGAAGATTTTGTGCCGTTTTCCCGAATTTTTCTACTGATGCTTGCGCAAAATTTTCACAAAACGGACGAACTTTTCTGCAAAATAGGGAAATTGGTCACCGTTAATAGTTATGGGATCCGATATCAAATAGCCGTAAACTTACAGCAAAACGCATTTTGATTTATTTAAAAGAATTTTTGCCTTTAAATTAATTTTTCTAAAAGACATACGTCTACAGTTTGAGTAGTTCAGCAAAAATATCAACCGAAATAGAATTAGTTGTAAACCGCGGAAGCTTTCACCGTGGCAACTGCTCAATATTTAATACCTCTCTGATGAGCATGTAAAAACGAAACTACTTATCGATGTGGAGCTCGTGGTATTGATCATCGTCCAGTGTGAATATCCTTGCCACTTGGTTGTGTTAACCGTGATGGATGTGATAATGAATTAGGGCTTAACCTTTCTTTTGTACGAACTCAAATGGTTAAAATGGTTTGGGATCGAATAGAAAGAGATTTAGCCCAACGGGCTTCCGTATTTAGTAGCAGTGGATCACCGATATCTCCGGGCACGAAACAAGGAATATTATCGATAAAAAAGAAAAAGAACAGGGTTGGTGAGGTACTATCTTTAGTCCTCAAAATATGTCAGGTTTTCTTTTAAAGGATTCCAAGGAATTCATTTAAGGGAAAACGTTACATATGAGCGTGACTGTTCTAGGTCAATGTGTTTACATTGACCAATAGTTGATATACAACGGATGGTATATTGCTTCAATAGGAAGATTTGTATAATTTACAAAGGAAATCACAAAGGTGAGATGAAGTTTGGTAAATGTTTATCATATGAAAAGTTTCATTCTCGTAATTCATGTGCATTTCGTAATGCTAAATGTTTTAAATGTGGTAAGATAGGACACATTCAGTCAGTAAGCAAAGCTACCTGTGACATCATCACTACTGCCCATTTCGCTTCAAGTAGTACTAAATCTTGTAATTTAAATTTCAATAATTCGGATGTTTCTAGTGATCATTTATCTTTGTGTATTATTTCGAAAGGTAATGCTCATATTCAAAAGCGACTATATACATCGCTTGGTTCATTTCATGACTTTATTGTGGACACAGGCAGTATAGAGTCCATTATTTCAATCAATAACTTGAAATCTTTAGATTCTAACGTTGTGGTACGACCCACCGAAGTATTAGTATTAGGGATTACTGGACACAGACTGCCCATACAAAGATGTTGTGAATTGTTAGTAAGAGATGATAATTCTTCATACATACCTTGTGAATTTTTAGTTAGTGAAAGTGGACTGTCAATACTGGGTTTAAAGAATTTGAAAAGGCTAAAGGTGGAGTTGTCTTTTCTAGCTTCTAAAGAAAATTCTGATACTTTACTTAAAGATGTGATAGCTACGTGTGCTAAATGCAGTTGAGGTACGAAAATTTAGCCTATAAAACTTAAAGTACAGGGTAATCCAGTCTTTCTTAAAAGACGAATAACTTCTTATGGTATTCGTGAAGTAGTACATAAGACATTAAACGATTTGTGTGCAAAAGGCATAATTGAACCAATTCAGTCTTCAGCATGAGGTACTCCTATCGTAGACCACTGAAGTTGGATAGCAAGATCCCTAGAATTTGTGGTGACTGTAGAATCACTCTGAACTCCCGTTTGTTGAAGCAGACGTGTTCGACGGTAGAGGCTGGAGATATTCTAAATTGACTTCATGGTTCCAAAGTGTTCTAGAAAGTCGACCTAAAAGATGCTTATCTTCGAATCCCTTTAGATCAATCTTTATCTATTTTGATGACAATTAACACTCCTTTTGGTCTGTTCAAATACAATTTCCTTCCATTTGGTCTAAGTTGTTCTCCAGCCATATTTCAGGAAGTTATAAATAAAGTAGTTAGTGATCTTGAAGCTGTTGAAGTTTATCAGGATGATCTCATTTTTCATGGTTCTAATAAGGTAGTTCATGACCAGAGACTTACTGCTTTGTTGCGTCGTTTAATTGAGAAGAATATTACAGTGAGTCCAAATAAGTGTTCATTTCGTGTATCTAGTTTTGAATGCCTTGAATACCTAGTTGATGGTAATGGTTTAAGACCAGATGTGAAACGATTAGCTCCAATGACAAATGCACCGTCTCTAAAAACCTTACGGAACTACGTTCACTAGTGGGTGCTCTTCACTACTAGTCCCGTTTCGTTCCTAATTTTTCTCGTCATTCAACTTATTTAATATTTTGACATCCGATTCATTCAAATGGAGTGAGGAACAAGAGTCATGCTTACGAAGTCTACTAAAGTTTCTTCAAAAAGATGCTGTTCTTCGAACTTACTACCCTAGTGTACATTCTGTGCCTATTGCGGATCCATCATCTACGAGTATTGGCACAGTTTTGGAGTGGGAAGGTAGACCACTTATCTGTGTTTTGCGCAAACTTACTGTTACTGAACAAGGTTATTCACAGACTCAGTAAGAATGATTAGCTGGGTTTCGGGCTGTTAAAAAACTTCATAAATATTAATTCGGAAAGAAATTCACTATTTTTACCGATCATAAAGCCGTAAAGTTTATCTATCGTCCTGAAAAATTCTTAGCACGTTCCTCAGCTGCTATGGTTCAACGATGGAGCGTTGATCTGAGTGCCTGTGACTATACAGTCCAACATAGGGATGCCGAACAATAAACCAACACGTTGACCAAATTTCTCGATAATCATTACAAGATAAACCTGTTAGTATTTCAGACTGCTTGCCAGTGCAACCTTTACCAGTGAGACGTCCAGATTTCACTGGAGAAACTCGTAACTACTTTGGATGTATACTGAACGCTATACGGAAAGGTTGGAATGCTAGTCTGAAACGTAGATCTCCTGTCTGTTTTTTAAAGCGAGATGAGCTATCCACCACTCTTGATGGTATTTTGTGTTTGAATGATCGTGTTTTTTTCCTCCTTCATTGCGTTAATCTGTCCTTGAAGATCTTCATAGTGGATATTTAGGTGTTGGGATAATAAAGTCTTTAACAAGGCTAACATTTTGGTGGCCAGAGGTAAATGCAGACATACGTCGTACAGCAAACAAATGCGAAAAATGTCATCAGTTGAAGAATCAGCCTTCGAAGTGGACTCCATGGCCAGTATCGTCTGAGGCCTGGCAGTAAATTCATGCAGACTAATGTGGTCCGTCTCTTGCTCTTGGCAGAATATACTCAATTGTAGCCACTGTTTTTTTTTTCAAAGTAGCCTGAAGTTTTTTTCGCAATTTCACCAAATTCTGATGTCACAATCCAAGCATTAAGAAAAATATTTAGTCGAGAAGGGGTTCCATGGTGTTGGTGACCGACAATGGCTCTCATTTTGCTGCAGATGCAGTCACTACCTGGCTGAATGGTATAGGGTGCAAACATCTGTTTACTGCTCCCAGACATCCTTGTTCTAATGATCAGGCGGAATATCTTGTCAGGACATTGAAAACTGCTATTGATTCTATAGTCGCCTCAACATTTAATGAGCTGGAGAGGGGTGTAGATACCTGAAGAAAAATAATAATACAAAAAAGACGAAAGGGGCTCTAACAGCTTCGGTAATACAAGGAAGATAGCCAATTGTATATCACAATACTGTTTCTAGCACTACATTTTATTTTATAATCACACATAATCCCATACTTTCAGCTCCTTTCCGAATCGCCTCCATTTGTCAGTTGTATGTCCACTCACACCTAGTTAATACTTACTTTCTTTAACCTATTAAAAAGCTCTTTCTTAACAAATACCTTAATAAAAGAAAATTAGACTGAGTAGTCATACCTTAAACATTACTTCATAAATATTGGCTACTCTGCCTTTCGTCCTTTCTTTTACTTGCTCCCTCTTTCAGCCCCCTTGTGATATGGAGCGAAAGATTTCATCTTGCACCATCCTCAAAGCCTTAGACATTCTAAAGGGACATAAGGTTGCGACATTTAGAAGCTCCCACCTTCAATGGACCTATCCTTGACCATCAGTTGCACATTTACAACGCAACTTTCATGAAGCGCGCCAACTGTGGTACTGATTAAATCCATCTACATTCATATCTTATTAATTATCAACCCAGCTATGTAATTTACTACAGTGGATATTGTATCATTTGTATCAATTTGAACTTGCCTGTAAACTGACATGCCTCATGTAACAAACTGTTATTTGAGAATATATTATTATTATTCTTTTCGGATGGCCAGGCGTAATTATTAGGCAGCATGCCACTACCTTGTTGCCTCGTATTCTCCTGTAATCTAGTGGGAAAAACCCTAAGTAGCGGAGACGGCTACTAGAGGGTTAATCTCACTCGGTTCAACTTGTGGCATGTCTCTTCACTTACCCCAAGTGATTTCTACAAGTTTGGTGATTTTCATTTTCTGGGTTCGCAGGATTTATCTTGTGTAATTAAAAAACATTATTGTATTTGAATGGGACAGAGGTTTACGTAGGTTTCGATCGCTTCCTCCTGGTAGTTACAACTGAACTTTAGGCATTCTGTTGGTAATCCCTAGTCGCGTTCTGTAGAGATGGCTGAGAATTAGTAATCGTGAAAAGCATAAGATTTCTGCGTTTCATCTGTACAAAAGCTGTTAATTTTACACAAAGAGTATAAGTTCAGCAATATTTGCTTTGGTGATGAACATGCACTTCCTTGGATACTTTCGGTGCCAAGTGAGTCAGCTACCGTCTCTATATAATTGTACGCTGTTCCGTGTCAAACGTTCCTGTTAATTCCGGGAAAATAACATAGATTGGTACCTCTTGGTCACGGCAACCTGTACAGACATCTCGTGCTAAGCGAAAACCAGACACGCGAAACCTGCCAGCTCCGTGTCTGTGTTTTGCTTCATGGATGATAATGTGCTTGTTCATATATTCCCTCATTAAGTCATCGGTCTACCATTTTATTGTCTCAGACAGTATTGAGAGTAATACAATCGGTCTATAACTAGATGAACTTTATATTTCTTTTCGTGAACATTGGGAAAAGTGTATCTTGTTTTTATCGTCTTAGAGGTTATGTAAACTGCGGTGAGTGCATGGTAATACCACAGAACCGTTTACCGATGGTCTCCACTCATTGCTTTTGCTGTAATCTAATCTTCGCAGTTTTCCTGGTCTTAGGGATTTTAATCTCTTCAAAACTAACCCATGGGTTAGGCAGATGTTCTCCAGAACGTCAGCTGATTCTAGAGTAAAAAGGTGCCTCACCTTTGCAAATTCTTACTTTATCTGAGTTTCAAAGTGACCTGTGAACAATTCTACCATTTTCAGGTAGTCAATACATTCACCGCTAAATATTATAGGGTTGCAGACACACTGGCTTCCGGATTTGCGCTCAGACATAAACTTGTACAGACATTACGGGTCATTTTGTATTTAAACTGCTGCTTTGGTCAAGAAGTATATCATGCCCCTTCGCACTTTGTACTGGGCATGTTTTTCTGACTCCAAGTAAGAGCTGTGGTCAGAATACTGTGTGGAAACCTCTCAATTTTTCTAAGCTTTCCATTCTGACTGTAATAAGCGATCGGAGTTTCTCTTTAATCAGCCCGATACCTTGAAGGGCATATTTCCGGATATATATACTTCCATATCTTCTTATGGTCGTTTACTCTCAGTCTGTTGATTAATGGCCTAGTTTGGTTCCAGTACATTCATACTTGCCACTACAATAATAGACTTAACCTCAAAATTGCAGATCTGACATCAAGTGACTACCTCATTTACAGGATCTTAAATGGGAGTCATGTCAGTGTCTATACTGACCCGTCATATCGAAACGTTCAGCAATAAGACGCTCAGCACTTCCGAAAAACACACTTAAGTTGTAGACAGAATAATATATTACATATGAAGAAGGATACGTTACACCGAATGAACTTCTCTACGTGTTAAATGTTGAATGTGAATTTTCTCAGTTAACTTATGCTCAGCTTACAAGGTCGTTTGGTTAGAAAACGATACAGCTACAAGTGTTTACCACTCTTATGGGTGTGAGGCTCATAAAAGAAGCTGCCAACTTATCGTTTGGTTCTGGATATATCTCATTTGTGACGGTTTGGAAATGACCGTTACCTAACCAGTGCTGCCTGTCGATCCTTAAGTATGATAAATCTTGATCAGAATCAGTCTTCAGTAATAAGGATAGTAGGTTGATGAACCTGTGTTAATCCTGACACATTGCTTTCCAGTGAAGGTCCAGCTTTTCCTTGAAAGTATTCACTGATGGGGCTGATACCACTTGTTCGGGTAAGGCGTTCCAATGATTGACTACTCGATGAGAAAAACGGGATCCCACTTTAAGTTTATTAGATCGTGGTTTATGAACCTTCTTGCTGTGACCTCGGAGATTATTAGTGCTGGAGGGAGCAAAAAGATAAGACATATTATCCAAAAAATAACGAATCAAATCGCCCCCAATGGTAAGCATTCAATCCACAAATTAATGATCATATAATAAATGAGATTATGTCTCTATCCTTTAGGGATAGATTTAATGAACCAACTTAAACAAGATTATCCTGTAATAAGGCCATCTATTATGGCATCCTCCAAAAATCGAAATGTTAAGTTAAAAAACACGAAACCACAAGGATATCAGGGAGCTGATAGCCATTCAAAAATTACAATCGACATGATCATAATAACCACAAGCGAAACAAAAAATGAACATGTAGTTGAATATAGATGGTAACAGGGGAAGCGATACATGTAAAGGGAAACAACAAATAAAAGAACTTTCTATAAGTTTCATCGAATGACATAGTGAAGCCGAAATAACCTCATACACAAATCGCCGCTCTTTCTCCTTGTCAGACATGAAAAAGTCACTCGACTTCAAACGAAAGCCACGTTCTCGTTAGCATAAGAAAACAAATTTTCCTGAGTTCTCCTACTTTCATCTAAATTCTCCTTACGTTGATGTAGAAGCACTGTTTGAGGAAATTGAAACAGATCGTGGATTAGAGCAAGTTGACCAGTTCTGTAGGAACTAACCAATGGAAGCTTTTTCTCGGTGTATCGGGTTCAGCTAACGTGGTTGTGCACTTGATGGAATGATATGTGCGAAAGAAACTATCACAAAATGCAAAATTCACGCCTATTTAATCTCAGTATACAGGATCTTCACAGTCCACACGAGTGTTTCTAAATGGAAGAATCCTAGGGAAGAACAGACTATGTTGAATAAACTGTTGTTGTTTAAAAACGGAAATACGAATTCCTGGGAGATTAACGACGGTGATAATGTTAGAAAAACTTGGCCAACAAGGATATTTCAATTAGCGTAAGATGTCTAGTACAGTTCAGGTAATTTCCAGCAAAAGCATGTGAAAAAAGTAGGAGCTTTCGTTGTAACAATATCTTTGAATATCGTCCTTGTTTTAACCAAGCATTCTGATCGAAGCCAAAGCTTAGTTATTAGAAAAATACATGTTAGCAACGCTCTCAGTCGCTACATAAGATTCCTTGAGACAGTAAACAACAAAACATCACTCCACGTTCCAACTGCCTTCAAAGACGATTGAGGTCCAAATTCTGTTTGATGCTTGGCTGAGTACTGTGGTCTAAATGTCATGCGTCTGTGACACGTTAGGAGAACGTGTACCTTATATTTTGAGCATTAGCTTATGATCAAGCACCCGTTGAAATGGAACAAGCTTACAATTTATAATTACAGTGTGTTACATCCTTATGATTAACAGTCAAATTACACCACATTTCGCATTACACACATTTTTAATCGATAAGAAATCTCATCCGTATTTTCAGTTGATCAAGTATATTAGGAAGGTTAGGAAAGCATTAACCAGAAAGTTTAGCTAACAAGGAGCTTAGAAAGAACTGGGTTTTGGGATACCGATGCCAATAGACTGACCATAGGGTTTATTATAAAAATTGATATTCAATAATTTACAAGAGAAAAGTTAGGTCGTGCGTCACTTCAATAGTCTTCGAAAGTACTCATTATCCTTACTACCAGTAACGGTGGATGATTGAGGGTCGATAGTTCCAGTATCCATCTTACTTTCTGACACTTGATCTTGAATTTCACGTGTTCGATGAACTGCACGAGGCAAAAATTCTAACTGCGTTCGTGATTTCCGTCTACAAAGATCAAATGAAATATACAAACCATATGAGAAGAAAACCAGCAAATACATACTCAGTGTATTAGGAACTCTGTAATCAAAATGGTAATGGTAGGATAAAAGTTGTCACACATGAGGTTGTGGAGCTATTTGTTGCATATTGCCAGCAACAGAGTCATGATTTAAACCAAACCAAAATTTCGAAATGATTACTAATTTTCTGATGTAAAAGATTTTATGGCAATAAAACATGAACTAGTATCAGCCTCACAGATTTCATATATTGGACATATTTTAGAAATGCTACATGCACTTAGCAATAACACTGTCTCATATATATGGATAGATAGATATAGATATTAGGACTCATGTATATGATAATAAGTGTCCGAGAGAACTGACCAGTATGCTTCTTAGTTGTTTCAGTAAAGGACGAAGATTAGCCAGTTGTTTACCTCCGAATTTCATGAATAGTTACTGACACATGTATAATCATAGTGAAAACTCTATGACAGTTACAGACTATGGAAGATTTATTGACATACTGTTATGGCGAAACTGCTGAACAGCAGATACTAAGGTGAGAACTAAGAAAATAAATTATACCTCATTAAGGATAAGTGACATGATACCTATCTGTAATCAATCCGTTTTAGTAAAGTTCAAACTCTTGAGTAAGTTGAATAATCGTTAACATCGTAAACTTTAAGTCACGCATTACAACATGGATAGCTGTTCTGATTGTAACCGTTGATTTATTGATATATTCTATGGCAGAGATTTAGTATACAGTATTTTTAAATGCATTTTTTACAGTAGCCGAAGTTACAGACCGTAGCAGATGGTAATGGATTTTATATTAGTTTAAAGTCGGTAGTTTGTCCGATTCAGTATCAATACTTGAGGTACAAAATGTGTTCCCATGAATTTGACAGACTGAAGCTAAAGGTTTTGTCGAGTACATTAGTTGTCAGTAACTACGGGACAAATCATGAGGATATACACATGAATAAGCAACGGTAAGATAATAAATTAATGAGTAAAAGAGTATAGCCCAGATTCTTTGTTGTAACCTTTCCGCTTGAAAAATAATCCCATAATTCAATAAACGCTATTGCACAAATAAGTAATAGAACGTACACACTAGTTCCGACGGGATGAGAACCACTCAAATTAATAATTTGGGGGGTTTTGAACACTTTTTTTTCTTCTGATGTAATTGATTTACAGCCTTGCGAACCACTTCCATCACGTACAGGTGGTTCACTAATAGATACTGACAATATTTTATTTCTGAATTCTAAGCCATTTGTGGCAACTAACGCTTTACTGGCATCATCTGCATTCGTGAATTCAATGTAGGCATGACCTTTTGGGACACCGTTACGATATGTTGCTAGACGAATACTCACAATATTTCCATACTATAAAAGTAAAGGATATTAAGAACAGTCAGTTAGACATGAAAAACTTTAAGTAAAGAGAAGTTACATTGAACGTAACCGTAGCCACCAACTTGGCATAGCGGTCAAAGTTTACTTGTTATTTGAGGTCCTAACAAACTAAAGAAGCTGTATGGATAGTGGTAAACCAAAAGCAATAAATATGAATTCATAGTGTTGGCTGTACTGAGGCGTAAAGGTAATATGATAACAGAGTCCACTAGTTAAGATGTTGGAATATCGTGTCATCAACATATGTTGCGCACCTGAGCCCTCATGTAAGCAGTTATGAATCAACCAATAATTTGCTGGCAGAATAAAAACACTAGAGCTGGGAGTTGAGGTTATCTATTTTCCTTATTTTATGTAGGTATTATATTTCTTACTTTTCTCCATTGAGTGAAATATTTGTGTCTAAAATAAGATGAGCCAGACCTTCACTCACTCCTCTTGTTGTGTAGTAAACATTATGCCCAGTTTTAAAGTGACAGTCGCTCCGATGCTGATCGATTGAATAGTACAATGAGAACTAATTTAACGTTTATATTGTTTTACATAACATCATCAAGCTTCACCCAGTCCATACATAAAAGTAGTAACCATGTGACACAGCAGATCAGATTAGATTTAGTAAGAAGTAACACTGTGGTGAGAATGAAAATCAGAATATTTATTTATTCAGTAAACGATTTTAGATGATCTATGTATGATTCAATGATTGTTCTGTAGTAATGACGTACCGAACGAATCACATGATGTTTCAACGACGAACAGATTACACGCCGCAAGAAGGCTACATGATATATTTGCGAAGCAAGTGTAGGTGGGGTATTGCGAATAGGGGGATTTTCCACCTAGCCGTGGCCATTGTTCAAATATAGTTGTCTGAATCAGTTTAATTATACATATATATTACTATATATGTAGGCTTGAACTAACCTGCTTGAATAACTTTTCCAAATCTTCATTTTTTACAGCTTTATCTAAATTTCGCACAAATAACTTTTCAGGTTCTTTTTTGCCAACCGTATATTTAAATCCACATGATTTAAGTCTGCTTGGATCACATATCGATACAAACATTGGACGATCATAACAATTAGGTGGTTTTGGAATTGTTGCATTATCCTCTTCTTTTTGTTTTTGGCTATCACAGTCACATGGCACACTTTCTGAGGTCGGACGTGTAATTCCTTGTCTATCCAGTGTAAGTGCATTTTTCACAGACTCTTTATTTTCGAACTCAACATAGGCGAATCCTTTCGACCGACCAGCGTAATCACGTACGAGACGAATAGATGTCACATTTCCACACTGTCATAAAAAAGAGAGTTAACTGCTTTAGGTGGTAGTATAACAAAGTACTCAAGTATTTGGATGGTTCAATTTTAGCAACTGTTCATAGTATAAGTAATGGTACACAGAATAAACAATGATTCTATAGATCAATATAAACGTATCTGAAAATATCTACAGATGACACGGGCATAAAATTCATCCATAAATATTGTTAAGCTAAAGGTATAATAGGTGTCTATGACTGAATCTATTTCCAAGACATACTTCCATATGACGTCATCAACCAAACGTTGAATACTGTAAAACATACATATATAAACTCAGACATTGAATAACTCACTATGGAAACGTAGACAAAAACTGACAATCCAAGAATATAAGCAGTTAGTAGATGAATATAGATAGTGATACTGTTGTATAATTTTCGGTGGAAGGAGTTATGTGAAGCGTATTTCACCATAGATTCCATAACATACGGAAATACTTTTCTATCTGAAGATCAATGTTAAGAACCTGTTTAATAACAAATTTTCTCTACCATACCACTGAACAATCATTTCCAGCGTAGTGAACGAGAAAACAAGTGGGGACAATCGAATGTATTTGAACACAAAATTACAGAATCTCTTAGTAAAATCTGAGAATCATACAGTAAATACTTCATTTGAAAAAGATCAGTCAATCGTCTCAGACTTCATTGTTCCTTCGTTTCCACACCAATCATTCTCTTTTCTTCGATCTTATTAACCCTCTGCAGCCATGTATTACACTTTCGATTGATGATATATACTACTAATATACATCGACATCAGTAGCACACACCATACCAGTAAACGATTAAAAGACGTGAATTTTAGTTTATAGAGAGTTTGACAAGTTTAACTATCTCGACCAGTGAACATAATGTTAAAAATACACTGAGAATAATCAAATTATATCTAAAACCTTCTATTGACGATGCTCAATAGTTTTGCACAACGCTTGGTAATTAACAATATTAAAAAAATGATTTATGAGTTCGGTTTTAATGATGAAAACATTGTCCTTTTATTCCAGTTGTTAACAATGCCAATAATGATGAAAGTAAAATTGATTCGAAATCTGAAAAGTGCTTCTCGTATACCGCATATGTGGGAAAAAACTTGTGGTATACAGTTAACTAAAGTGATATGGTGTCATTATGAAATAATTTCCGTATAATCGACAAATATGTATAGTTTGGTTTTAAATACCTTAACACTTTCAGTGAGCTGTTTACGGATAAAGGGTAATGATTATCAGGAATAGTTAATTCACGAGTAGAGAAACGATGAAACAATGATCGCCGAAACTCGATACCACTGAACAGAGAAATATCAAGCGGATAAGTGTTCGCTGTGAAAAACGGAATACGATGTGTTATCCAACTTAAAATTTCATACTACCAGTTGACAATCAGTTCAGAATATGGGTGAATACAAATTAACAAACGACCGGTTGAAAATAACAAATATTTGTTTAAAAACTCACCTTTTCAAAAGTATGCCGAATTTGTTCCTCACTGACTGAATAATCAAGATTACTTACAAATACTGTAAACTCATTTTTCGATGGATCGTGTGGAACAAATGTCCCATGAGAAGTAGGATTAGGTTTTGATACCTAAAGAAAAAAAGAAAATGAAATCAGATGAATTAGTGGATACACCATATCAAGGTGGAACCTTGTGAATAAAAATCCTTAAAAGACTATGTGCTGCCCGTTAGAAGTCTACAATACAGAAAGACTATTGCAAGATGATACTACCCTTGGAATTGTATGTTGCATTCTGGCCACTAAAAACAATTAGCGATGAGAATAAACAAGGATAATTGGGGTTCTAACATCTGGTAAAAAGTCGATGAAGACTAGGCTCACAGTATTCTTATTGCGTTTGCTGTACTTGAGTCGTAATTAATCGGGTGTGAAAATGAATCCTAGACTTTAATACAACTTATCCAGTCTTACAGTCCCAGTTTTACAAATTATGCAAGTAAATCCTATACATTTTATTCCGGCGGTTACATTTTTTCTAATCCTAATTATAACTGACGAAGACAGAAATTTTACATTCGGTAAGTTGCACGGTGTTGAAAAACTGTAGTGATTCACCAATGGCTAAATTGATTTTTTCGTTTTTTTCGATTGCTCCACTGGTTTTGAAGGGAACAGTCTATAGTCACCCATTCCAAACAACGATAACATCGCTAATTTTCTTACAGAACGTGCAAATACCAATCAGTCAAAATACACTTCAAATTATCTACCTATTACCAAGGTGTATACAGGGGTTCGTACTAAAGTTGTCACACCAAGAGTACAAAAAATGATTACAACAAATGAACATGAATCCCATAATTAAAACTTCAGAAACATCAAAATAACTATGAAACCGATCTGAAGTTTTCTATTATAAAATTTCTTCGGTCCTAGGAAAAAAATCTAAATGCAGAGCAACCTATGTTGAATCGCTACACGAGTACATTGACAATAACTATTATTCTTATGAAAGAGAAATATGTCGTAATTTGCTTTATACGATTACAAAATTACAGAAACATAGTGGAAAATTGTAAAACACAAACCAGTAAACTAACTTTGGCTGATTTTAACGTGGCAGCATCATTTTGATGATCAGGTAGTTTTCGTTTTCTTGAACCAGATAAATTGGTTTCCATTAATTTAACTGGTATCTACGAGAGGAAAAATAGGAAAGAATACTAATCATTCTCAATCACTGAACTTGTATGAGGTAATAACATAATATTGGTTAATAAGCCCTGGTCAAGACATACAAAAACAATTTAAATGGACTATTCATACAAAACTATCTAAATGGATTATTATTTGCAGTTTTTATCCATTGACTTGAAAATTCTCATTATGAAGAAATAAATTCAAGTCATTTGACAACTCGTTGAGGAGCGCGTATTCCAATTGTCCGACAAATACCAGGTGAACACCATGCAACATGGTGAATTAGACAAATCGAAAAATAAACTTTACTCCGTAGCGTCTTAAGGTACTGAGAACCACGTAGACAAATTAGACGTCGTAGAAAAATGTCTATAAGTGTAGAAATAAACATGAGTTCAAGCACAAAGATAGATAACTGTCTGAAATATTTCCACCTCCATATTTATTCCTGGATTAAAGTGATAGGTAAATGAAGAAAATAATGCATATTCAGAACATATAATTCGCTTGGAATTAGGACAGTTACCTCAGTATCTGACTTTGTCGACTGAACATCTTTAACAGACTCCATTAAAGAAGCTCGACGTGCATGTATTTTTGTAATAATATCTCTATATTGTTTAACAGGTACCCCAGTTTCACCAACTGCACGTAAAACCACTTGAAATACTAATTCTGATTGGTCAAAATTAATTGAATTAATAGCCATAGCACATATTCGAAGTAAATTTTTCATATCACCCCAAGTCCTACAAAGTTAATGGTGCAATCAAGAAGGAAAAAGATAAACAAACATTTTTTTTCATTGAAAAACGGTCATATCACAGTGCCAGGCATAAGAAAGCGATCAGCACTAAGAAGAACTTGACATAGGTCGCTATCCAGTGATCAATCAATTATAAATACATCTGCCTACAGGAGATCAATCGCTGCACGTATAGCTCAGTGGTACGGTGTTCCAGCCAGATTGGTTGGTAGAGTCTTTTTTGGTGAAGCTCAGTGGCCCTTCTGGAATGGATCTCATGTTTTCAAGGCCCACAAACCCACCACGTAGATGTGATTTTATGGGGAACCATTGCCCTGCAGGTCTTGGCGTGTGGGAGTAGCACCAAGGAGAGTAAATAAAAGATTATTTGAGGCTTTTACTTACCCTGGATAGGCATAGTCTACATGCATACTAGGTGACACAAGGACTTTCGTCTGTGTATCACTTGGTATGCATACAGGCATACCTCCCCGTCAGCAAATATACATTACATACATACCGGTAACGCACGGGTTTAATCCCGTGCATCCCAAAGCATACACATAGATATATTCACCGACTTTGGAGGGTAGACGTTCACTGCTCCTTTTGAAATGTATTTGCTACAATAGATTGTCTATCACACATCACATGCATATCATTGAACCTATGGCTACCGCCCCAGTACTTCAAGATACACACATAAGCATAACCACTCTCTCAGGGGAGGTTACTGATCACGTCTTCCTAGTGTTTGCTACAATATCTTTTTTATTATGTCTTCGACCTGATAAATTAGGTTGCTGATTTTTTAGACATAAGTCAAACACTACTTCAGCTAACTTCTTCATTGTACAACACCACACGATTACCCTTTGCATATACTTACATACACGAACTACGCTGAGTTACAGAAATCCTTTTTTTGAGAGTAATTATATCTTTTCAAATACTGTAAGTAACGCTGTACGTAGGGTGAAATTTCCTTGATTTCGATAAAAAACGAAAATCAATGACTTAAAGGATTAGTAATCAAATGTCCTGTTCAGGTAAAGGTGGTGAATATCTCTTAAAACACAAATACAGTAGAAGATTTAATGAATATATCTTCTCAGACAATGAATTCGGACCTCGCCAAATCTATCGAGATTTGAGTGATATTATTAGCCTTCATACCAAAATGTTTGGAGTACAACCAACGGCTTGTTACTTGCCTAGTAAATAAGAATCAATAATCACATGAAGAGAAAAATATTAAATTGATTTTCAGTCAGTTCAGAATATAAATAAAAGCAGCATTCCATAAAACTAAACAACATATAGATAAAATGTCTAACTACTAACTGTTCAAATTGAATATAAGGTATCCAGTATTCAGCTCGACTCCCATGTCCAGGTAACTTTATTAAACTTGTCCAAAGAGAACGAGCACGCTCTTTATCTTCCACATACTTTGCCTGAAAAATGAAAAAGAAACAAGTGCAATATGCTCAACATTTAAACTGAAAACCTGAAATATGAAATTTTTAACACACATTCTGTACAATGTTCTTAATGAGTAACAAAAATTTTTAAATGTGATTCAGTTAATAAATGGAGAGATTAGCATGCACAAGCTTAGAAACCGAGTGATCTGATCTCAACTACTGTCTGTTTTAGTATGCAGTCACGTTATAATCAACTTCTTGTTACTGTTTTGCTGCAATGAATTACTGCTTTTGTCTTGTTCACAATAGTTAGTAGTTGATGTAAGTCTGTGGAAAATTCTATGGACATAAAGAGATTTAACAGGTTGAGGTCCCAATTTTCGTAGCTTAGTACGATCACTGATTTAAAAAACTTGTGGCGGTTGGTACTATGTCAAGCCCATATAGGTTACTCTAGCTTCTGGACAGACCAATTTAATCACTCTTCTCAAGCCATATTTTGACCCCGATTGTTTTTATATGCTCGTATGTAAGTTGATTGCTTGCCTTATTCATTACGTATCCATGACTGATTTGTGGTCTGACGAAAAATACCGAGTCACGCCTGAACAAAACGAGTTGGCTCACTCGCCATCTCCGCTGCGCACCATTTCCTTTCATTTCCCTGATTGTCTGTCTGAATCAAATACTGTATGAAATATGCATATTCACAGTTCATTCTCGCATTTGTCTTATTTTATCCCATTATTCTCTAAAGTGAATTAAGTCAATAAAATTATACGAAAATTGGTGGTATGTATATTTTGATAACAATCAGCACACAACTTCATTTGAGTCAGATACAGGGTCACTATAAACTGTCATTATTAATCTGAATCAGTATTACCATAAACTGTTGATGTAGTTACAATAAGTCTTTATTACAATTTTTCACACCTTTACAGTGTTATAATCTGCGTACTATAGTGATCTAACGTAATTCACACCTATTTCTATTGGTTACTATGGTATATATAACCATCTCCTCAAACCGATACCGAAAATTATCTTGTACTGAACATTCACAACCTTCAGAGTTCTAGTAAGCATTTGTAGACAATGGGGCTAAACCGTATCGGGCGATGCAATTACTCACTAAAGATGGTGGCACAATGTTGTGGATCGATTGAAGTGCACAAAAGCATTGATGTTCCCATAAAGCAGGAATCATTAAAATAATAGTTAACAACTCTCTAACTATCAAAAAATAGAACAACTACTGTGAGGACTGCTTAGAACTCAAAAGTTATTTGCACCCAACTACAATGGATGAATTCACGAAAACGTATTCAGATACACAGTGAAAACGATTAGACATCGAATTCTCTTGGATTGTTCATAGTGTTAAATACACTCTGTTAACTCATTAATTAACCTGAATTTTTGTATGAGTACTTTTTAACTTGAGTCTTATTTCTTGGTTTATTATCATCCCATTTTACACTTAAAACTAATGAATCGCCATTTATCTTTATGAATCCTTAACAGTGTACTGCAGCTTGTATTTGTTACTGTATCTTCACTGGCTTGATATTCGGTTATTTTAATTTCTTACGAATGACAGTTGGTATCATGAGATTTAAACACACTGATTTGATCTAGTTCTAGTATTCAACCACGATACTGAAGTACAATCATCTACAGTTTTTATCATCTATCAAATACTTTAGGCATTTTAAAGACTTGACCGATGCACTAACTTTAAATAAAGGAAGAGTTTTAAACATCAGATTCTCGATGAATGTTCTAACCTAAATTCACATTTTAAAACTCATTAAGTGAGAAATGTATAATCCATAACCTTATTAGTAGAGTATTACTACGATCTCGACTACTAAAAATTGAGGTAGAAATCTGAAGGAATTTTATCTAATTTGCTTTCTTCCCACAAAATCATGTAGAAATAAGAAGTACATAGTTCATTCAGAATGTAAAAGAAACTCACTTCAACAAATGCATAATAATTTAAAAGTGACCAATCAACATTTGATTGAGAGTGCAATACTATAAATGGAAAATATAACATTATTGAAGATACCTCAAGTATGTGAAACTGAAGATATAAATTAATCAGGAAACAATAACTAATGTAATAATATTTATTATGCTCAATCCAAACGAAATTATTGAGATATGAATTTCGCAGCTGGAGGCTTGGAGACCCTAGGCCCAACCTCTGGAGCAGTTATGTAAGCGTACTGCTGAAAATTCTCATGCTGGGATAAAAAAAGTAATCTGATGCTTTTTGGTCTTGAATGTCGCTTCAGTTTGAAGTCTGTTTGCGAGAAAAAAACTATAAGTATATAGAGAGATTACGTTTGCAATATAACTGCTAAAGTTAAAAAAACTCCATGCGGTATAGTAATCACTGTGTATGTTACATTGAATGAAACTGAAAGAAGCAGTTGAACACAGATCTCGTGATTGCTGGCATTAAATAATTAAGTTTGCTTTACAAAATTGATATCATTGATGTATTATATTGGTCATCATAATACTCAGCAACTGAATAGTAGTTAGTACTTCTAAACAACGTCATCGTACAATAATCATCCTAATCTAGACTTTGGTGTTCTGTAGGATAATGCTGCTATTCAGTTCTACACACTGATTCAATAGGTCAACAATCAAGAATACAAACTAGTAATATCTTTCATCACTTTTTAACCAACCGGTTTGGGAGATAATCGATATATTAAACTAATATATTCGCAATCCAGATTTGAATATAGTGAACAAAACTACTTTTCTGTTCTTCCTTGCGCCACACTGACTAGAGAGAGTGAAGCTCGGTTTCTGAATCATAGTTTTGTAAGTGATGAATGTCACAATGACTAGAATTAATGAACTGGGTGTTTATCACTAAACACAAATCACAGTGAAAATCCACTGAAAGTTCATAAAGTAATGTAACGAAAATGTGTTGAAAGTTGACCTTACAATCACCTTAAATCAACATTGGTTGCCGTACTCACAAGTTGTATTTGAGAAATTCCACATCATGGACACTGAAATTTCTCAGCTGTAAAAACTGATAATAACAGTGAAAGAAAACCAGGTAATTATAGTGCAGTTTGAGATGTTTTTGCGGATTAACTATGAAATTCGGAAGTCTTAAGGAATTAGATTCATATTTTCATGTCTTGTTTTTTTATTGATTCGGATTAAGTTTTCCCCCAATACGGCATTTTCCAACACTGACTGATTACATACATCATAGCTGTTCACAACATATTGAATTCATTTTGAATAGCAGATATATAGAATATTTATTTATATGGATATTATTTTTCCCTGTGATTGGAGCTTTCAAATATGCAAATTGTTATTATAGTATTAAATCATTAAATGCATGTTTATAGTCATTTTCAGAATGAACTTACATTCAAAACAATATTCTATAGCTCGACCAAATGTTGCTCGAAGTAATGACAGTCGATATTCTAAAAATAGAAGAAAAAGGTTATAAAGAAAGAATATTTCAGTTTATGTCATAGTAAAAAGAAATTCATTAAGAATATCCTATTAGTGGTTGAGATATGAGTTAATTATGGTTAGTTACAGGTTGCTGTGCTGTGTTGAGAATGGCTAGTCATAGACACGATAAAGGTGAATTAACGTTGAGTAAAAACGACATTTCAGGTTTTTTCCTTTTTATCCATTGTCCTTGCTTTATTATACCCTGGTATTTTAAGTATTATTGTTTCATTATAAGTTCTCCGTGAAAGTGTGAATATTGTGACAGATTTCATAATATCTATTTAACCAACATTTAAATTATATAATGAAGCTTATCTAACTTATGTGTAAGCAGTGTTTTAATATTAAGGTCAATTAACAGTGTCTCATAATCAGAAGTTTCTGAATAAGTTTCCAAATACTGAAGTCAGAACAAAATTAAAGCGGCTTCATTGATGGTCAATATTGAACCAACTGCTTTACGAATTACATAAACTCAAGATTGTAAGCAATCAATATCTATACATTAACTAATCACTTCGTAGTAACCAGTCATAATATTCAGCCCTTAGTGCAAATCGGTAGGACTTGATTATTTCTACATTGCTTGCAGTTCAAAAATCTCTGAGGTAAGGGATCTAACGTCAGTTCCTTGAATCTTTTCAATTCGTCTTGTTGAATCGTGCCAACCATCCGCAAAACCTAGGTTCAGCGTCAGTTACCTCCGGGCAATTATAACATAGTTATATGTAAATAGACACCAAAATTAAAATCCAATATAATGAGGTAGAATAATAAGAAAATGAATGGGATTAGTTCTAGAACTTACCCCAAGATAAAGAACTCTTATCTAATAAAAGAAGTCTACGCAAATGATGATCACAATAACTACGCCAAATTTTCAATACATCATCTGGATTAGTGAAACCAGCTGCTAGAGCTGTTTCATATATACCTGTAATGGATTCATAACAAAGAACAGGTAAACAAACAAGTACAAAAGATGTATTTGAGGTTTATTTACTTATTTATTTAAGCACATAAACATTGGCACAAGGAGGCACCAAATACATATGCGTCACACTTTATCATTTAATTTGGATGAGGGCCGGAATATTGCCCAGGCGCTCAAACCGAAGCAGCTGGTTTTCTTCGAAGGCCACACCCAGAGCCTTTAACCTAAAGGTCTATTCCAAAAGGTAGTGGAGACGCAGTTTCATGGTAGTCGGTGACCAACAGCAAGTTCATACGCCATTCGTTCCCTCAGGATCCTGGAGCCCACGTTCACTCTTGGTTTGGAATAAGAATTTTCCAACTCCCCTAGGTGGATCGTCTATATTCATCAACCCAGTTAAAGCGCCGGGTTTTCGTTTTTCGTCCTCTTGCTTTCGTAAACAAAATCTCTACCGCGAGAAGGTAGTAAGTAGAACATTCTCTGGAAGTGGCTGTATACACGTGGCCATGTAAGAGCATTTTGAGGAGGGGGAGCTGACTTTCTCCACCCGCGGTCGTACCAGGGCAATATTAACTAGAAGATATCAATTGATATTTGTTCGTGATGAAAATTAGTATGCGAATTGAAATTTTCTTATTTTTGATAAACATCAACATAATCACCAGTGAAAATATTTAAAAATTTAACTTTTCATGTTTACAATTACCTTATTCAGTTAAATGGATTTTCAACGATTTAAAATATCACGTAAATTAATGGCTAATCACATAAATTCAATGGAATAATAAAACTATTGAAGATATTTTATTATAGTCATCATAACCAAAACAAACTCAATCAGCATTATTAATCAAGTTTAAAAAGTAGATTCTATCTTGAATGTATGATAACAAAGGCTTTGAAATCAAGCGATTAAGTTCAAAGAAACCAACTTAATCGAAATCAATTACATACGAGGTGTGAAATTGTTTGTTTACTTCGACTTACATAGAAAAGTATGTCAAAAGACAATGGACAGTATAAGTGAACAGTGAATTACTTACGAAAACACATAAGAAATTTATAAGGTAAAAAAAATACTGATCTTTTTTCTTCTTGAACCTCACTGCATAGTCGACAGTCGATTGTGATATTCGGAATTTTACAATCAATCAGCTTAATTTAGTTACCAGTGACAGTTAACATCGCTAAGACTTCAGACAATACTTAGTGTATTTCACTAATTCCCATATATTAACCTATATATCATCATTAGGCGTTATACATAACTGTAATATGACTAAAATAACTACAAAACAATTTTTTAAAGTAGCATACCATCAACCTCTTTAAATAGATCAGACTCATTGGAAACAGATTCCTGTTGTGTCCCATTGGTATTTGATTTGAATGAAATATTTTCAAGAATCACAGCTTCAGTGACTAATGCATAACGCTGCCATAACTCGACACACCAAGGACAATTACGAACTGATCGAGACAATAACTTTTGCAAACGCAGAACATCCGTTTCTAGCTGAGATTCCTGGAAATATAAGAGCATAATTACGTCGAAAGTGTATCAGATGTTGTTGAAAGTAATCATTGTCTTTATTTACTAGCAAACTGAATTACGTAATAGGCGTCTCACATAAGATCGAATTTATAAAACTACTGAGTATTCGTAGAATAATAGTAGAGGAAATAAAATGGGTTCACTCTATCCCAAAACAGAGGTTTCTTTACGCTACAAAAGCTTTTCAAGAGGACTGACTGTACGGAGCTGTAAATATGTTAATTTTCGTTTAAATTTCCAGAGTAGTAGAATTAGTAACAGTATCAATTGTAGCAGAAAAGATTAGGTATAAAAAATATGATTCGAGGGGAAAATATGGACCAGTGGAATGCGAAAAAAGGTAAAATAATTTTAAAACGCAGGATCTAGTGAAGACAAAAAATGAGTGCACCTGTGTCACTTCAAACAATGTCGTGTCACCCAAAGTCTCTAACTATTAATTGGTAATGAAGCACACCCCAGGTAGTTTAGCCTGGACCTACCGACCTACTGGCGAATTTCAGTGATCAGTAATCTGATGGACTGATTCCATGTCTTGATTTGGTTGCCACTAGCTTTCTTCCAGTTCACTCCTACACCAAACAAAAGCGCCCGTCGAGTTAGACGGTAGTTCAACATACGTAACAAATATCTCAACCATCGTAGCTGTTTAAGTTTCAATACCTCATTAACTGATTTGCCATTTTCATCAAATACCCTGCACCTAACTTCAACATTGCTCAATAAGTGATCGCAGCATACATTAACAATGTTTTGAAAACACATATGATCAAGTACTAGTAGCCTATTGATATACTGTATTTTGAAAACTGTTTCAGTCATAAAGTAAAACAAAGCATACTACTACTTAGTGAACTTATCTCTTGGTTGACATCTCACCGACACTTCAAGCAGCTCAAGTTGACGAAACTTAACCAAGTTTTCTGAATCCACGGTGAGATGTCAGACACTAAACAACTGGGTCGCACAGAAAGTAAAGTGGTTGACGTGCTCAACTACTTCACTCGCTATCATCAGTTCTGAAACAAGCCTGTACTTAGAGGGAGAGAATCGCATTCTGCAAACCATTATTTTATTACGGAAAGAAGTTAAAAGACCGTATTTTGTCAGTATTTTTATCTAGCAGAGCTATATAATTTTCATATCCTAAGTCCACAAGCGAATATTCTGGTAGAAGGTCGATTCCTGAAAAACACAAGTGACTGAACTCACGGAGACTACAACATTTATATCCAAGTTTTTTGGCAATTACGAGATTTCTGTTGTCTAGGGGCTAAAGATAGCAGAATTCTTAGAAAAAGCTCGAAAAGAATATGTAACAACATGCGTCATTCCAAACTTTAATTCGCAAAGATTACCCGTGAGCGGCTGACTTATGAAGTAAATTTAACCTAATTTGACTGGCTTTGCGGATGATTCACCGATGAAATCAGCAAACGATTTTTAAACACTATGACAAGTGGGTCACGGGATTATGGCTGTTAACTTAAGATACCGCAATTGCCACAAAACCTGAAGGTTGAGGTCTAGAGCCAAAGTGAGGTTGTGGGTGCATGAGAAGTCCGAAATTTAAATGAAACATGTCCATCGTTTTTTAATTATTAACGAACTTACAGTTGATGACAGGTATTTGCAGTGAACAATTTACTGAAATTTTTGAATGAACAGAAGAATAAGTAAAACTGTACAACCAGTAACCGCTATTAGTTAACCTGTTCAGAGTCTTTAGACGACAAGCGATAAATATACAGTCTTTTTCATAGTAAATAAAAACCACGATATTCATGTATTTGCACCCTGTAAAATCCTTTTTACAACTTCGACGAATTCACTTCCTTTATTTTTAGCTATACTAGTTTTATTTAAAAAAATAATACATGAATTTTTACTGAATTTGACGTTCTTACTACAATTATCAGTTATACTTTAAACTGTTCCCACTAATCAACTTAGTACAAGTTTTTTTTTGTATTTTGGAGTTCATTTAAGCCACACTAAAACTAGAACAGATAAGTTCCTATTCTTATAATGTGACTCCGAACAAGACTTCCAATCTCATACTTAACAAGAGAGGGTACTAATGTTTCGTACAGTATCAAACGGTACAACGATTGTTCGTTGATTTCCAAGTTATGATCGACGAATACGTAAATCGATGTCTTAATGATAAAAATACTCCACTTTAAATTAACAGATCACACGTCTGAAACCCGCCTCACTGATTTCGGTTTGAGTAATAATGCCACAGAGGAAGAGAGTAAACAATTCACTACAAAGAATACAATTTTCTGTTAATATTTAAAATAAGCTGCTATAAAAAGAAAGATCTAATTCACGATATAACTACGCTTTAAATGTTCGCTAAACCGAACTGATGCCGAATTACCTTATAAACATATGAGTATTTTTCCTTTAAAATAAGACAACATTTCAATGTATATTTTCCGTGATAATTATTCCTGAGATAAAGGATATTCCATGATAGCGTATATTCAGGTTTAATGGTCATTAATGTCTACTGAATGATCCAATTCAATTGGGTTACAGTTGTCTGGTAAATAACAACAAACAATCATGACATATAAAAGGAAAAACGTATTCAAAAACCCGAGTATCCACACAAAACAAGAAAGACAATGTAGAAACGTTTTGTTTTTCACTCGATCAACTATTTGTTTTCAAGTAAACAGAAACCGCTAACAATCGAACCACTCATTCTCATTCAATTCATTAAAAGCAATATACGATATACAGATCGAATGGTAGTTCAAGACATACTGAATATGATAGTTCCAACTTATTGTTCTTCTAGTTACTTGTTTCAAGTTTGTATACAACATTATTTTGATTATTACTAGAAGGTTGTACTGGTGAAACACTAAACTGTAAAAAATAAATACTGCCTATATTCATTTGAAATAATAAACAACTTACCACATAGTCTGCATAACGTATCCAAAAAGATGTATCTAAACAATGTGCTGTAATAGCACGCTCGAAAAGACAGCATAACTCATTAGGTGATACAACAAAATTGTTAGGAGTGTTCTCATTATTCTTACTATCAGTATTTTTAGATGTTTTAGGCTTTTTTCGTTTTGCACAATGAACCGCCCAATCAATATACGTATTCCAACTGGAAACAGATTCCGCTTCTGACTTGTCAGTAGATTCCTTAAATAAAATAAGCGTAGTAAAAAAACACTTCTAATATATGAAAATACCTTGAAAAGACATTACCACCAAAAATAGCAACAACAATGAATATTTTAATGCACGCAACCTCTACGTCAACTCTATCGTTTAAAACATGAGAATAATATAACAAATACACTCAACTCTAAACTGTTGATTGATTGAATAAGTAGACATGTTCTGATTCATTAATTCGGACGAGTGTTATGGAACAGCAAGCGCTTTGGTCAGGGTGAAGAGAGAGATAGTAGCAGCAGTTAGAAATTTGAGGTCTTATGACTCGAAATTAATGGAATACTATTGTGTACTTGGTTTAAATTTACTGCTTTCTTAAATGGAAGTAAGTCGAGCGAGATTTAGACCTGTGACCTTAGAGCTTGAATTAAACATCCTAAGAACAATCTTTATATTTTTTCAGATCTAATTTTATGGGTCAACATTGATCTGTTCCCGGATGGTATAATTTTCCCTCGTTTTATTCGTCTAATACATTGAGCTCATTTTGAACTTTTCTCAGTTGAAGATTAAAGCTGTAATGTCAGACGTTGTATAGAGTAGATAGGTAGGTTAGATGTTTCTAACAATTGTGCTCAATTCTCATGAATAAACGTCACTTTTCTCAATTAATTTACTTCCCCTTCTTTTTATGTTATTAAATCGATCATAGTGGCACAAATGCATTGATTCCTCCATAATCACTTAAATTAATTCCCATGTTTTTTAAACTAACATTAGTACTAATATCCCAGCTCATTTGATTTTAAGCTTGTTAATATTCTTTCCCTATCCTAATATGAAGAGTGATAATATCGGTTAAATTACACTTGTCACAGGCTCTATGTTAACCATGACATATGATGACTACTTTTATCAATAAGGTCATAAGGACGTTCAAGGTTGCAGCCTGATAACATTAAGCACTTTCAATGTCCACTATTTGATCAACTTCATCTTATCGTCTTCCAACGAAATTTTGCTTTAAAAATTTGTGATTATAACATGAGTGTAAACGGTAAAGAAATGGGCCACTCTTATAGTTTATAGCACAAAACATATCAGAAATGTATATGCGTAAATCTACAATATAGCACCAAATCTGCACACTACTACCGATGGCCTAGAAATATTCTTGCCACTTACTGGTTAGTGAGCATCCTGATGGGATAAAACAAGAAATATTTCGCCAATAAAGTATTGTGTGGAGAATCTTCGCATAGCTTACACATGCATTTAAGGTTTATAAACAATTCCCTTAACAGGCCTTGACAAAGTAACTCATTTACCCCACTTACTTCTATGGATTCCTCAAATGGTAAAATAACAGCTAAACGCTCTAAAGCCTTCTCATATTCCGTTTTCATTTCTTGTGGTACAAAGGAATCTGAATTTTCCCTTGGTTGATATAGTTCTACACCAATATCAGACAGGAAAGTCTTATATTCAGTTAATGTCTCCTCCATATCTATAATGAATGGGAAAATAAAATCCTATCAAAGGTGAAAAAGTTAATTGGGGAACAATAAAAACAGAACTTATAGAGCAAGAATGTACATTATTTTATTGTGTTTAGGCGGCTAAAAACATTAGACTTTCTGTCTAGTGTGATATGTTATAAAACATGATCACCAAATGATGTACACTTTTCCTCCCATAGGGATTCCAAGAGTAAACAATAACTTCATGAATATAGGCCTTGTTTTACACCGGTAGAGTTCGACTATTTTTCTGGTATGTGTAACAGAATGCATTCAACAGCTGGCTATTCAATTCGAAATAGTTTCAATGATGTTGCTGAATATTTAAATAAGTATCCAGATCTGCAGTAGAGTATACACTGGAAAATAAACAGAAATACTAGTTCAATTTTCATCAAAGTGGAATTTCGAAAGCAGTTCGACTGTGAAACCTGAGTTGCAGTTTATAGGTTATCAAAATCGTTGAACAATTAGCTCCTAACCTATTGTTACGAGGAACCAAATGCTCATGTTTGCAGCATAATGGACAAGCGGAGAAACGGAGAATGGTGTATTTTGTTTATTAATTAACAGTACTTATTGATAGAATTAGTTAGGTACAACAAGATGGCCGCAATAGTTGTTTAGATTTTTAGTTTTTGATTGTGGAGAATGCTGAATTTCATTAAATTCACGAGCCGATCAATGTTCAACCGTGTCAGGCATGGGGTAGTTACCCACCGAAGACAATTGAAGATGGTCGTGCGACATCGCGGATTGGTTGAAGTTAAACATTAACACTATCGGATGCCGGCTCAGTGGTTTATGGGTTAAGCTTTCGCGCGAGAGACCAAAAGTCCTGGATTCAAAATCACAGTTGGGAGAAATGTAAAGGTGATTGAAAGATTCTTTCAGAAATAGCTTACTCAAATGTGGAATGCTGAGTTGACGCTGAAATAGGCGGTCCATTTTATTCAGTTGTTCTAGTTTCATTTCCTAATTAAACAAAAAAAATAATAAATTGTTTCCCACTTCAAATATAGAAAACCAATTGCGAATCATATTTTTAATTAAATTGACTAATTCACTAGATACTTCAGTATGAAAGCTAATTATAGCACGCAGTCGCTCAAACCAAAGTAGTAATATCGTCAGTTTTGTTTGGAATGACCAACCAAAGGTTTATTATGGAAATCTACAGAATGAAGGATTAATACATTGTTACTCTAATGTCAATTTTAACAATCACAAACGCAATCAACCATTTGATTTAAAACTTGACAGTTAATTTTAATGCTGTACTATTCTATTAGATAAAGATGAGGAGTAAGGGGAACTGTGACTGGCTGATTCCCATTCACTAGTACTTTCGTCCAGCAGATTGAAGTTGACAAACGTACGGACTACTTTACTGATATGCAAATCGGTACTCGGTAAACGGCTATCAGCAGCAGGAAAGTACCAATACTCATTACACAAAAAGTGGCTTAGAACAGAGCACACAAACATCTAATCGGAAAATAAGTCTTAATAAATGTAAAATCAACCGGTAGCAGTTAAAAATTTGCATTACTCTTGACAGCAGCACTTATGATTTATACGACGATAAATTTTTACGGGTTTTCTAAAATTCTATTTAACTTAATTATTTTGTGACGCATTATTTTTACACACTGACAAAGAATTAATTTACAAATACACTAGGCAGCCTAACAAGGTAATATTAGATCATAAACAAATTATGTTCTTAGACTATAATGCAAGATAACCTAAGAAGTATGTAAGCACTGAAATTGCTTCAATTTTAATGATTCCTGCTTAATAAACAGTAAATTGCTTTAGGTTGATCACGTTCAACAATTATGTTGAGAAGAGAAAACTAAACATCAGATTACATGGAAGTTATAGACAAAATAATAGGTTATTTGGACATATGAGGAGGACTCGTGAATAATAAAGATGTGCCACAGTGTGAAATACTCAAAGGTTAAAAAGTGATAAGAAAAATAAACTGTTACATTTTTCATGAAGCAAACAGATATTCCTAACCTTATGATCTTGTGGTAGCTGAGACCACACTACAGTGAGATATTCACGATAGATCTCCCATAGCATCGAACCCCCAACAACATTAAGTCCTTGATGTGACAAAGCAGATTCAAAAATGACTTCCGCTTGCTTTATACTATCCACAGAACTAAAATCCGAAGTAGAGATTGCGAAGTGACAGTATTCCAACCACACATTGATATCTATAAGAAAACGAAATCAAATTTTTTATTGTTATTTACAGTGAAGTAATATACTTTCCATACTATTTTTCTGAATTAGATTCCCTACAAAAACATGATGGAACATCTGACTATATATAAGCTAAAATATTTATTAGGTTGAGGTTCGCTGGAATACTAGCATTTCATTTGAGTGAACAGGTTATTTTACTCTCCTCAAGCACTTGCTTTTAGTGAGCATGGCGCAACAGGAATATTGGAAGTCAGCAACCCCTTGCAAAACTAAAAAGAAAAGAACAAGTTGAAAAACTTTAGATCACCCTAGTGACAATAATTTTTATTGCGATTTTCCTTGTAATTTTCTATCGTGGGTACTTAAGAACTAAAAGATAGTTTTTGTTAGCATGTAGATTTCTCGATACTGCATGTACTTACACTGATTGTATATTCGGGTAGTACCTGACAGTGACAGTCCAAAAATAAAAACTAGTTGCGGAATTCGCTAGAGCATATGGTTTATAATAAATCATATTAACACAAATAGATACCGATTTCTATCTTTTTATAAATGATCGTTATTTATTATCTGTTTGCACATATGCTTCATTTTACTATTACAACGTTTTTTTTACAATACAATATAAAGAATTTAGATAACTTGGACAGGTGAATGTTGCTATCCCTTTGAAGTTCGAATTCGGAGACCGACAGAAGTTGCAGTAAAAATCCAATTCAGGGTTCTGTTGTCTTAGTCATGAAATAAACCAAACTGAAGACATTATACACTACAAAATTCGATTTTGAGTGCGAGGAATTCCCACTAACACAATAAAGTGATGGTCTTAGACTTTAACCTTCAGTCAAAAATGAGTAATCACTGAGCACACTAACAGATACCTACTGCTACAGAACAGAATACTTTCGTAAACTTCATACATTATGAATACACTCGGAAAAATACCTTGACAAGTACCATATTCACACTCAAAATATAGTCAGATTGGTTGTTCATTTGAAGCTTACTGCTACAAGTCAAACTAATGCACATTGGCAGTTTTAGAAAGGTTTGCAAAATCAATTGTAATTATTCTAAAAGTGCTTCACATCAGTTTTATCCACTTGTAAATCTGACAAATCGATAAACGTCATTTAACTATTAACTTCCGTTTCGGTGCGATACCACAGTTTCTTCTTTTTACTTTAGATGCTATAATTTATAAACCTCGAAAGTCTTCACTTTAAACGTTCATCAACGTTGAAGCAATACTGAAAGAATCAGAACATGATTAGAAAGGCAGGAGTAATATCAAAAGTATGAAAGGTACACCCAGCTTCTGACCTTCATAATCATCAATCGCACGTTTAAAAAGAATTTCCACTCGTCGCTTTTCTTCAAGTGTAGAAGCATTATTAAGCTCATCCTCGATCCATTGAAGCCACAGTGCTGGAAAAAATAGGTAAAAATATAGATTAAAGGCAACACAATCACTTGTTACAAGTTGAAGCTAGAAAATTTAAGTAATAGTATGGGTGAAATCTAGTGATTAAACAAGGCAAGCTTATTGAATTGTAACCAGATGCCATAAAATGGATTAGTTCATAAACCACAGATCACGACAAAAGTTTGTAGTAAGTCTGCTTTAAAAAAATCCGATGCAACCGCCATCACAGCACTTAAATAAGAAGCAAAGTTCATGAGTTATGATACACTTTAGCTATATCGCATCAATGAAGTGTGGACTATCTAAAAATCAATTGCATTTATTCTCGTTAAGTAAAGTTCTTACTTATGATAAATTTAACATCGAAGCTACTGTTTCGCTTTATTTACATGAAATAAGGGTATCAAGGAGAGTATTTGAAATAGTTTATACTTGTACTCCTTTTTATTTTATTTTAACACAGATATTGGTACAAGGAGGCACCGAATACATACAAGCCACACAAATCTTATTCGATATGTGTAAGGGTTGTGATACTGCCTGGGTGCCCAAACCGAAGCAGGTGGTTTTCTTAGGAGGCCACATCCCGAGCCTTCGACCTGAAGGTCTGATCCACAAGGCAGCGGAGCGTCGTAAGGAGATACAGTCCCATGGAAACCGGTGACCAAAAATTGGTTCATACCCCATTTGTTCCTTCAGGATACTGGAGCCCATGCACACCATTGGTTTGGAATCCAGTTAAAGCGCCGGACATTCGCTTTTCGTCCTCTTATTTGAGTAAACAACACCCCGGCCACGTGAAGGCAGTGAGTAGGACTTCCCTGGTAGAGGCTTTATACGCGTGGCCATGTGAGAACATTTCGAGAGGGAGAGCGGGTTCCCCCCACTCTCGGCCGTACCAGGGCCTTTGGTGGCACTCGTACTCCTTTAATGGGTAAGATAAATTTTTGGTTAATTTCGCACCATTGTGTAACAAGTTTTTGAGATATTATCTGAGAACTTCTTGAAGTTTCCAAAAATAAACCGTTGACGTGGATCGTCGCTAACCAGCGAGGAACGGCATGTGACGAATCCAAAGGTTGGATTCACGATATCTGAGCAAACCTTATACCTGTAAAATAAACTGTACACCTGACCGAGGTCCACATAACTGTTAAGCAGTGCCGTTTAAACAATCATAGTCTACCAGCAGCAATGCCAACTGTAGATGTATTTATAAGTCACAGTTGCAAGAAGGATTTTGTTGATACAAACAAGCAGAAAGTCAGCAACGACAGTGAATCAATCGAAGCGCGATTGCCATATGTAAACATAGAGATGAGGGACAAGCAAGTGTCGAATCCTCCAAATGAGTCAAAGACGAATAAGTAACGAGCGGAAAGCCGCAAAACGAGTTTCTTGAGTACTGCACAACTTAAGCAGTAGCCAGAAATAATCTGACGATATTAGTCAGAAAGGTATGTCAGGTCCTAGAAGCAGAACTGGCATACAACTGACTGAAAAGAGAATTTCGCCAGATATAGTTAAAAGCCCGATGTTTAAACATCTAATACATTGGTCATTTGCCACAAACTCAAGAATAATGACTCATAGTTTAAAAATCTCGTTCGGGATAATGTAGACCTACTCAAAGAGCTACTTAGTAAATTAATACCGTAAAATTAAATTTCCTTAAGTTTTAAGAAGCTGCGGACCCGCACACTGAACTAAAACACCCTATTCAGTTACATTGTCTAATCTTCCTTTAAGTTCAGGAACGAAAATAACTTAATAAAGTGATCACAAACTGGAGTCTAAGAAGTATATACTTAAACACTTTTCAATTGCTGTCTAAAAATCAGGTGGCTGAAGGTGTCTAATTTCGGCTTCAAGCTGCAGAAAATATGCCTTGTGACAGAAAATATTTAGATGATGGGGCTTTGGCAGTAACTTGTTTTTCTATGTAAACATGAATCACTGTATAGAATCGCTATTATTTAAACATGAAATATGGAAGATAAGAGTTGCTGGTCAGTCGTGTTTACGGCAGCTCAGATTCAAACAAGCAATATAATGCTAGGTAAGTGTAGTACTCAGTCTCCTATTGGCAAATCTAATCTTAGGGGACTTATGCATTCATAATAGACCGGAGAAATCCAATGACAGGACCATTAGGTAACTTTCTGAAGTAAAATATGGTCTACAATGACATCATGTGATTCAACACATGTAAAAGAGTCCACGGAATAATACTCGAACTCGAAGTCATCGTTATTAGACACTACATAAACAAATGGTACGGAAGTTGTCACAATCCTCGATTACATTTCGCTATTCAGTGAAGGTGACCGAATGGTGTTATCGTTGATTCCTCAGACTGTTGCAAGACTATCTAAGCTAGACCAAACAAACCAGATTACTAAGTAATAAGGCTGACCAAAACATTCCCCACTCTCATCTTCCAAATTAAATGGACACTGATTAAACGTTCACAAACATCGAAACAACTACTACGAACCCCATCAAAGAATTACCAGGAGGAATTCAAGTTTCGATAAATTATTAAATCTTGTCTATTAAATATATTCAAAACGTAGGATTGGTAAATTCTTATTCCAAAGAAAGCACAGACTTTTCTGATTTGTTTCCTTACTGGGATTGAAAGTGTTACGTTTTGCTGCGACACTTATGGAGACCCACAAAATACAACATCGTGCCGATATTATATGGCTAAAATAAACTAGACAGGTTGTATAAGCCAAAGACAACACTTAACAAACAGTCAGGAAACACTTTCATAATATTTAAATTACCTGGGGTAAGTGGATAGGTTTCGTGCATACGTTCACGCGAAGTTTTGAGTCTCTTGAAATCGCCTATTTTTCGAAGACACTCGATGAGTTGTACGTGTGCATTATAATCGAAAGGGTTTTTCTCAAGCTATTTCACGAAAATTAGTGAGAAAGGGAACAAACCCTATGACATAAATCTTTGACAGTGTTTTGCAAAGTGGACGTGTCATTAATTGCAACAGATTCGCACGGTTCAATTGGATTATTCATTAGAAATTGATCTAAACAATATTATTTAAATGAATCTAACCTTCAGATAGTCGACTTTGTATGAACTAAGTTGTGCTCAACCAACGGATATCCGATCAGCAACTGATGTTGTCAGTTTTTTGCTTCAGAATAAGTAGTCTGCACGGCAGAAAAACAGGGGGGTATAAGCGAAGCCTAATGAACTGCCTTGAGCTTCGAGGTCACAGTTGAACCAGGCGCCTTGAGAAAACTCTCCGATGTGGTTCACATATACAAATGGTTTTGGATAGAATAGAATAGGCTTTCGCTTAATGGCCTTTCATATTTAATTTTGGTCGATCACCGATGCCACTGAGTAGGAACCTAGGTATGTTTAATGATAAGAGAGGGAAATATTAGTAGATAATATTGAGATAATATGCTTTGTCCTTATAAATATGTCAAGTTTTCTCCTGGGAAGTCACTTGGACCGCATTAGCAAGCATAAAATTCAGGAATTTGACTGCTCTTAAGGAATAGAAGGTGCTTCTTGCGGTGTTTCCATGATCCTATGGTTCTTTTGTACAGGATAGTCCGCTGATTACGAATTCTAAGTATAATACGTTCATTTGTGCCCATCTATTACTAACTGCTGTACTATTTCAGGAATTACTAGTTAGTACAGTAACCTGAATACTTTTAATCAACATATTCCTACAGTCCGTTCTGCTATGTCATGTCCCTGATTTCTGAGTGTTATCTCTAACTTTTCTGTTGGGACTGGGCTTAATTGAATATTTGAGGGGATAACAAAGAGTGTCAAGGTTTATGTACGTCATTGAAAGGTTACCTATGGGACTCTTATATTGTAATGAGCAAAGATTCAATGATTTAGGGCCCTCTGTATAAGGCTCGAATTTGAGTCCCAGAACTGGTTTTGTAGTGGCATGTGACTTCCACGTAAGATCTTATAGATTAGGCAGTTATATCATGACAAATCTACAAATTTAGGATTAGGTCTATTATGAGAGCAGTACTAATATCATAGTAGACCATAATTCTACAGTTTCACTTCTCGCCGTTGGATATTTTCTAATGCATCCTTATCCTTTTTGATGGGTGGAAGAAACACTATATTTCCATACTCTAAAAGAGGCTGAATAAAGATGTTGAAGGTTAAGTGGACATTTTACCGTTAAACTGGTCAAAATGTGCTTCAGCGTTACCAGTGCAAGGTTTGCTGGAATAGTGTTTTTGTCGCAATTAGCGTAAGACTTTAGAAGGTGTGGTACCAAGACCCTTAGATCCTTTTAACTTGAGATAACTCTGGAAGGTAGCTGCCTAAATCGTATACGTGGTCCGTGACATGTTTCGGACTATTTTACACTCTGAAGTGCTAAAAGTTCGTTGTTATCTGACCGCTATTAAAGTCGAACCAGATCCTCCTGAAGTGCCAGCTTATCATCTTGCTCGCAAACTTCTCTCCGAAGTTTCACATCATCGGTGAAAAAATATCAGATCAGACGATACCTGTTGAGGAAGATTGTTTGTGTAAATTAGGTAAATAAAATATACTAGTGGTAAACCCTAAGGGACCCCACATGAACATTACGTAGCCTGATAAAAGTTAAGTTTACTCTGACCCTAAGAAGTTGGTAATTTGGATGTAAAGTAAGCCAATATATTAAAGGTAACTCAACACCTAATCGTTTGAGCTTATTGATAAAGCATGTATAGTTAACACTATCAAAAGCTTTTGAGAAGTCAAGGTATGTAACATCAACCTTTCCCGTGCGATCAGGGATGGTTGTCCATCTGTCGACCGCAGTCAGGTCAGTTATACAAGCGAGACGTTTTCTGAAACGATGCTGTAAATATGAAAAAAGGTTTATCGATAGTACTACCACGATTCGGTCTGTGCACAATCAATCCTCACGGAGTCCAGCCCGTTGATCTCGAAATTGGACGTTTACTAAATCGTTCATCCAATTCAGCAGCATCATTGAAAACCTTTAATTGTGCCGATGGTAATGTGATGCTTCACTAGTTCTCACACTTGCTCAAATCTCCTTTCTTTGATATCTTGATAAGGTGGCCTTCTTTCCAGGCCATTGTCACCTATTCTTCCTCCCAATCTTCCTGAATAGAGTGTAAATCATGTTTGCAGTTACTTCCATATCTGACTTTAGTGCTTCAGCTGGTATATTGTCAGGTCTTGCTGATCTCCCACTCTTGGTTTGTCTGATGACCATACTGATTCCAAGAGTTCTTCGAAGTAATCTACCTACCTCTTCCTCTCTTTTTGAATCTCGTTGATTGTCTTGCCTTTCTTGTTTTGTTCGGTGTCTCTGGTTTACTGTATTTCCTTGGCAGTTTCTTATTTGTGTCATTTAGCTGTCTCATATTCCCTTCTTTTGCAGACTTTTCCACTGTCGTTGCTAGGTCTTCCACATATTTCTACTTGTCATCTCTAATACTCTTCTTCACTTGCCATTTTGCTTCTGTATACTCAGCTTGTGCCCAGACTTTTCCTGTACTTGTCCGGCTATTGGTGACTGGTGTCTTCTTGTTCTTCCATTCTTTAATCTTGTGAAGAGTTTCGATAGAGATGCATTCCTTTTGATGGTGCTTCTTGTGATCCAGCAGCTTGTGAGACGTTGAATTTAGTGCCTCTTTGGCCCTTTACCAGTCGTCCTCCATAGCAGTTTCTTCTTCCTTAAGTAGATCCTGGAACTCTTGGAACCTGATGTTGTGAGCTATCTTGAATTTGTTTATTTTGTTAGTATCTTGAAGGAAGGCTGTATTGAACCTTTGTGCTGTTGTTTCTCCAGTTGTTTAGTCCTTATTTGTTGGCTTCGGTTTCATCTTAGCGAACACCAGGTGGTGATCTAATCATTTTTCTTCCGTTCTCACAGTCCAAGTCGTCCCATGATATCTTCATAACCCATGTTGTTCATTACGGCTTAGGCGTTTAGGTCTCCTATCAGGAAGGTCAGGTCTTTTCCCAAGCACTTCACCATGATTGACTGCAGCCTCTCGCAAAACTGATCTTCATCCTCATCATTTCTGTCATCGGTTGGTGTAAACACTGGATACAATTCATTGTCATTTTCTCCAAATTTGTTTTGAATAGTACTTTAATGATCCTAGATTTATGATATTCGCATCCTATAAGAGCATTTTGTGATTCTTTGGGCAGCATCAGAGAAAGTCCTTAAGTGTGTGGAGCATGTTCGTCTTCGTGACTGGATTACAGCAGCATTTCTGACGTATCTGGCCTTTGCTATCCAGTTTGAATTCAATGGGTTTCACTGATTCCGAGCACCGTTTGGTTGTATCTCCTCATTTTCATAGCTACTTGACTGGTTCTCTCGGTCTCCTACATTGTCCGAAAATTCCGCGTACCTACATTAATTGTTTCACTGGTTGTTATGGAGGGCATCCGCCTCGTTACTTCTGAATGATCTTGGCTTTCACCATGAAGCGTCATAATTCTTTTTTCAACTCGGAGGGCAGAGTTTAAGTGTTTTAATATGTTTATTCTGGTTAGCGTTTTTTTGGCAAAGTTGTTTTCTACGGGAAGGGGCTGTTGACACCATGCCCAACCCTCCTCCTTTACCTGGGTTCGGGACCGTTAGTAACCCTAGAAGTGCTACAGGCGAAGTTAGTTATAAAATAGTTATTTCTAAATTAAACATGATTTTAATTTTGGATTTATATGACTTAAAGAACCGATGAAGCTAAAGAGATCTATTCACTTGTTTCATTCTTGTTTGGGATACTCAGCACCATACAGTCATCAGGTCATACAAGATCAGAATAACTAATGGTTTCTTGGAAACCATGGTGACTACTAAAGACTTGCCGATTTTTGGCAATTTATATGTTCAGTTACAATCATAATTTCCTAATCCTAGTTGATTGTTAGTGCTAAAATCTCCGTTAAAGTACTTAACTTGATAAAACGTTTGGTTTCAAATCATGTGGACAGTACGATCTGCATGATGTCTTTGAGTTTGTAGCTGTTTGTATCATAAGATAAACCCTCAGAAAGTCTCATTTTGGTTACTGTTTTTGTAAACAACCACAATATTTTTAGGTTTAATAAACAATCTAAAGGAAGTCTTATTGTTGCCAGTAATCAACTTAACCAGAAAAGATCGGAGAACTGTTTTTTTCCTAGTCTGGGACTGTCATTTGAGAGCGTTCTCTCTCGATCCTGCGTTGAGTTTTCCAGATGATGCTAGACTGTGATTATCCAATCGAGCTAATTATCACGAATCAAATATTTAGACCTTGAATTCAAGTTGTTCAAATTGAAGACTGTGTCCTTTGAAAGCTTAAATCAACTAAAAACCGTTGGAAGAATCGAAGCAGTCAGCAGTTATTATGTCGTCTGAAATACCTCATTAATAGGTGGGCACTAACCTAGGCATATCCAGGATTACCAACTCTCCGAGCGAGCATGAAAACATGAAAGCACTGAGAAAAATTCTAATATCTCACGTTAACAACTTACTAAACGAGCTGACGATTATCTGTTTGACTATAAACTACATTCAGTAATTTAAACTTAAAAATATCTTTTACTAAAAACGACATAATGACTCAGTTCAGAAAGAGAACTGATTGTTGTATGAGGCTTCAACAGATCATGTGAATAATTATGATCAATAATTTTTAAAGACACAGATTAGTAAACCAAGTTATAAAAATTCACTTGATATTGTTTTACTTGAATCTTCCCATTGATGTTTTGGGACTGAAATAAGAGACTGATCAATTTCAGTCCCAAAACATCAATGGGAAGATTCAAGTAAAACAATATCAAGTGAATTAAACTTCAACCCATTGCACAAGCAAGTGGCTATCAGGACTCAGTAGCTAAGTGGATAACGCGATGGCGTTTGAAGCGAATGGTACTGAGTTCGAGTCCCAGAGTGAACATCAACTCTGAGATGCAGGTACATCCAGCTGACGAGTCCCAAACAGGACGGAACGCGCGTCCTGGATTCCACTGCTAGCCACTATCCATCTTTGCTTACAAGATATAAAAAATCTACTAAACTGATAGTTTCTACTTGAAGTTATTAATCCAGTCAAGGGAACAACATAATATCATTTAACCTATGGTGAAGCTAAAATCTCTCATAACTTTTGTATGATAGTTACTATAAAACACAGTTATATTCGTACTAAGTTATATTTTAAATACCCTTACTAGCAAACCTAGTAAAAACAATCAACAGGAAAATGGCCTTTCTAGGAAATGAAGAAAGTTATAACTCAAA